GACTCGTGCAAGGCTCGACACCACTGTGTTATCTCCCTGACCCATGTATCGAACTTTAGTCCAAGAAACCCCCAAGCTTGACAACTCGAGAGACTTAGGCGACGAGGTGCACCCAACGGGTTAAGCTCGAGTCAGAAAGGCGGGGAAATCAGAGCGTGAATCACAACAATACCACAAATTATTATTTTTCTCTTTTTTTTTATTATTTTTTTTTAACATCGAACATAAAATAAAAACGTAAAGACCATTGATAGAACTTTTAGCCAACAACTGAAAATCGTGAACACATAATTCAATTCTAACTCGCCCCCCAAACCTCAGACTATTATACCCCTCAGAAAAGTGCGTTCAAGCTTAATCGGAAAAGATTCGAAAGGCTATCCACACAAGTTGCAAAAACGCAGTCGGAAGGTAAATCTATAACTAGCCGGTTATCCATAATTTCAATTTTAAAATCAACTAGCCCATCTACTAATTCATTAATTGCTTTGCTTCAATAGAATCCGGAAATGCAACTTACACTCGATCCTAAATGAAATGCATGTGACAAACATAACACAATTATGGAAATCGAAATACATAAACGAGACTAAATTATATGATATGCATGCAAAAGACCAAATCAAAATAAGCTAAACTCCCCCCAAACTTAAATCATGCATTGCCCTCAATGCGAAAATAAAAGAAAGGAGAAAGAAATACGCCCTGAACAGTCGTGCCGCAGATTGATCAGTGTTCTACGGTTGCGAAAGTGTTCTTTGGTTGCACGGGGTGCCGTCAATTTTGGCACCAAGGGCGAATTGCCGGAATTGCCTAGACTTCCCGACTTCTTACTCTTCTTTCCTTGGGGACGAGATACCGGCAAAAATCAAGAAAAATGGGTGAAATCTAGCTTTAAATAAAAAAAATGCAAGAAAACTAACAAAATAAATGACGAAAAATAAATAATGGGTTGCCTCCCATTCAGCGCCTGTTTTACAGTCGACGGATCGACACAATTTGGACGGATTATGTCCAATCCAAAGCCTTGTAGATTGCGCATCCATCCGTCAGTCTTGATACATACTTTGCAATCATATCGTGGACTAGATTGCAATCTTGTAATGACCATCCCAACCCATGGTACTTTTCGTTTGCTATGGAAATCAGTCGGTAGGAGACTAGGATGGGTTGCTTGCCTACCGATCTCTCAAACTCGTATACAAGATACTCGAGCTTTGGAGAAAGCTCTACCTCAAATTTGAAACTCGTCTCCTCGCTCACACTCAAATCCGGAGTAGCAATGTGGGTAGGATTTTGTTCGTCAAGTTCCTCTACCACCATCTCCATCCCACTCTCATCACACGCAAAAGTATCTACATAAATGGGATGAATAATTCCCTCAAGGTGCTCAACCTCATCGTTCATACGAAAATCTGTAAATACCTCGTTGTCTTCATAAAGGATGGTCGGATGTGGTTTGTGAATGTGACATCGCTGAAAATTTTCGAAAATATTTGCCAGATAGTGGAGTTCGTCTTGTAAATAGCACAAGTGCTCATTTGTCTGGGCAAATCCATTTTCTGGGTTCAACCTTCGATGTCTTTCAATATCCTCCAACTCTTGTTGAATGTAATCAGCTCTGGATTGAATCTCGCCAAGAGAGAGATCATAAATCGAGGCCATCAATGTATACAAATCTGTGAAAATAAATAAAATAAATCAAAGAGAAAAAAAAATAAAATAAAAAAAAATAAAAAAATATCTAAAGTAAAGCAAGGATAGTTGGTAACGATATTAGTAAATTCAAGATTAACTAATTCCCCGGCAACGGCGCCAAAAACTTGATACGCGTAAAACCTACGTAAGAAAAACCGCAAGTGTACAGTATCGCGTTTTGTAGAATAGTGAATTCCAGATATCGATCCACAGGGAATTAAGTTCCTAAATCTACCAAGTACCGTAATTATACTATCCTAAACTTTATCTAGACGGGAGAAAAAGATGGGAGATGACATGAAGCCAAAAGGAAACAAAAATAATAAAAACAACGGTCCGCCAGTATACGCGAGGAATTCCGACGTGTGATGGCTTCTAGGGTAAAATCCACCAGTGTACTATCGATAAATATCTACAAATCCGAATCTAATGTCAATTCTATGTTCGCTAACCCAGACACTAAAGTACCCTAACCCCCGTCTCCAGTGTAGTTAGAGTCTACCCACAGGTCCGACGTCTCCGTTCAGAACCTGATATTAAGAGAGCATTTAGGTCAAGTCCTTAAGGGCTACCCGAGGTGCATCACGTCTCCGTTTCCACAACCCGAGCTATGTTTTCCTAAAATCGAACGAGAAATCCTCTCTCGAGTTCATTCACATTTAGAATCAATTCAACTGTTGGCCAAACAATCGAAAGCATTTAATACAGGAAAACATAAACATAATCAAAGAACGACAAATAGATCACAGATCTGGAAATCAAAATCAATATATACAAGGTTTCATTTCCCTAAAAGAAAATGCTTAGTTCATTACAAACATAGCATCAAAATGAAGAACACGAGAAATTATAAACTAAACGTAAAGAAAAGCTTATGAAAAACCCGAGTCGAAACCCTCGTCGAAGCTTCCTGCGAAGAACTGGCGAGAACCGAAGAGAAAACCGAAGAAGAAGTCGAGAGATAGGTCGAGAGATAATCGAGAGTTTGAAAAATGAAAAAGAGACCTTCTATTTATAGTGAGATATCAAAGAAAAATATATAGTCTCGATTTTTGTGCCCAGATCGCGATCTGGGCTTCTTGGATCGCGATCTGGCAACCTCGAAAACTGCCCACCGCCTTCCCAGATCGCGATCCAGGAAGTGCGGATCGCGATCTGCCCCAACTTTTCGCTGCTACTGGAATTTGCCACCAGATCGCGATCCGGTGATGCTGGATCACGATCTGGCCTCTGCATCAACTTCAAACACTGTTTTGACCCTTTTTCAGCCCGAATTCGACAATTGTGCATTTCAAAAAAGTTGTAGCCCTTGAAGTTAGCTTTCTAAATCCACTTGAATCAGCTCAATCGGAGGTCGCATGAGAAAGTTATGCTTTAAATACCAAACACTGCCACAATCCGCGAGAATGCACTTTTGCACGTGTTTGGTTTGGTTCTCGGCTTCGCTTCCAAAATAGTCTCGAATCGGCAAAAATAGCTTATCTTTACCTAAAATATAAATAAAACAAAAACAACATAATATATACAAATAAAGCCGAAAACTCGGACGAATGAAGACCAAAACACGAAGATTATATAAGTAAAAGTTGTGCAAAACGAACACTTATCACACCCTCAAACTTAGACCTTTACTCGTCCCGAGTAAATCAAAACAAAACAACAACAACCCAAAAACAAAAAAAGACGAAAGCAAAAAAACTAAACCTAGGCCACCAAAAAAAATGGTAAATTACGACCCCCGTGATATTAATCTTGACAAAAAAAAAATAATATATTGAAAATTACCGTGATATCACCAGAGAATTGTGCGAGATGTTTGTTCGAGTTCTCCTATCACTCATTTGTAAATGTGAAATATTATTAAAAAATAATAAGAATATTTGTAATATAAAATAAGAAATACGATAATATTTTCAAAATATGAAGAAATCAATTTTATTGAATAAAAGATTACGCAAATTTAAACAAAAATAATTAAAAAAACAAATAAAAACTAATGTTACAACTTACAACCCGTATTAATTTGTTTCATACAATTTTTTTTTATAAATATTTCCTATTTTAAATAATTATAAAACGTAGAAATTCATCATAGTTTTAAAATTAAAAATAACTACATCATAAAATATAGGGTAAATTACAATCACCTCTAAGGTATAGTCAAATTACGAAAAAAACGCTCCTCTTTGGATAATTATATCTACCCCTCTCAACTATGAATCTTTTTACATCTCTGTCACTATGGTGTCAAATGCGACATAATTATCTAGATTCCGTGGAACGTTCTCTAGTTTGTACTCGTTTTGTGCAAAAATACAGTTTCTGATGTACCACAATCTAATATATACAAGCCAAAAAACACATCTTATGATCATCTAACTTCAAAATGTGGAGCTCGAATGGAATAAAACGGATCCAAAATTGAGAATATTCCATATAATCTAGAAGGTTCCACTAAATTTGAAACCGCAAGAATGGACGTATAATAATATTTATAATTTAGGGAGGTGATTGTAATTGCCCAAACATGAGGGAGTTTTTCTTCATTTGACCGTACCATAGGGGTGATTTTAATTTACCCTTAAATATATTACAATTTACCCCTTGAGGAATTAATATGCCTACAAATTAGCCATGGGGATTTTTGTAATCACAATTAGCCATTATATTTATCTCAGGGGTAAACCTCTAACCCCCCTCTCTCTCTCTTCACACCCAAACAGTTTTCAAGAATGGCGGAAAGAATTGTGTCGGTGGCGCAGTGACAGGTGTAGCAATAAAAGCAGAGAGAGAGAGAGAGATAGAGAGGGGAGAGAGAAACCCCATCTCCGAAATAGTAATAATTTCCGTCAACGACCAAACACAATCAACCTCAGCTAAATCAAACCCATTTGCTGTGATTTTTTTTTGTAAAGAAAAAGTAAACCCCCCCCACACACACACACAGCTAGATTCACTGCTTTCTTGACACGTCCATCTTCACAAGCGGTGCTGCCCCCCTCTCTCTCTCTCTCTCTCTCTACATCTCTCTCTCCAATAAATCTATCCGTTGGGGCTGTATGTATAGGTGTCCCTTCTGAAAAGGACAACTCCCATTAATTATTAATTACTCTCTCACCTTTCCCACAATTTACCTTTCGATCTCATTCACTCTGTTGCTTCCACTTATATATCTCTGTATATATATACATAAATTATTATTATATATTTTATATAATTGTACATATGTTATATATATCTTAAAAATACTATCTTGATGAGTTTTTTTTTTTTTTTTTAATATGTGACTAAAACCCTTGTGAGAATTGTATCAATTTTCCAATCACCCTTGTTAAAAAAAAAAAAAAGTTCTTTCTTTCTCTGTGAATTTGATTTGTGAGTATAGTGTATGTATACATATATAGTTGAGATAGGTGAACATGTGAGATGCTTTTAATGAGGCTGGTAATGAAAAAGGGCCCTCTTTAATTCTACTTTCTCTCTCCTCTCTCTCTCTCTCTAGAGTGTGCAATTGAAAGTTACTTTAGTGGGAGTGTTGGAAGATTAATAAGAGTTGGAACACCCTCCATTTGTGCAGTGAAATTAATAATAAATAAATAATGAGGCAGCCTTCTCTTTCACATAGTGGTATTGGTGGTGGTGGTGGTAGTGGTTACAGAGGAGGAGCCATGGCTGCTGCCCTAGTGCTGCTTCTGCCCTTTCTTTTTCCAACCCTTTTCACTCCTTTCAGCCATGCTTTGCCCTCTGTTCTCTCGGTATGTTTTTTTTTTTTTTTTTCTTTTTTTAAATTGGGATTTTCTTGATTTTTATAGTTATGGTGATTTATTTATGAATCTTGATTTGATTCTTGTTTGTTGATTGATTCTCTGTGGTGTAATGGGTTTTTGTTTAATTTGAGGAGAGGTGGTTGCACAAATGTAGTTTGTCTTGAGAGATATTCTTCTGGTGCTCTCTATTTTGAGTTAGGTTTTTCGATTTTCTTGATTTACGGTTAACTTCAATTTTGGGTATAGTTTGCAATGTTAGTGCTTTGATTGTGATAGGTATGTTTTATTGGAAAGTTAGCTATGGGCTATGGTAACTGAAAAATTAAATAGTGGAAAGAGTTCGCCTTTTCGATTGATACAACAGATGATCGTAGCTAAATATATTAGGTAAATTTATTTATTTTTGATTCTCGTAAGGTGATTAATTGGTGCAGGAGTGGAATGCTCCTAAACCTCGTCACTCTCGTCTACTAAAGAGTGCCCTGCAGCGTGAAACTGTGAGTAGAATTTCTTTCACTGATTTTTTCGCATTTTATTTTTATTTTGGGATAAACCGATTCTTAGGTTATTGTTGAAACTGATGATTTTTTTTCCGATGCTTTTAGTCTGATCGAGAACAGGCTGAACTATGGATGCCGTTGGCTCAACAACAATTAAAACCTTGTGTCCAATTCGCCAGCACCTCTTGTAAGTTTACACTTTTTTTGCTGATTTTCAATTTTTTTTTGTGGGACGATTATTTTTGAAAAGTTGGTTGTAAAGTTAGTTTCCATTTTGTCCAGTTGCAACTATTTGTCGGTTCTTGAATTAGTGAACTATGGGGATTCTTGCATTTTATTGTTCTCCTTAAATGATTAGCTTTTCGTGTAGCTTTGCCAGAGAAATCGAACGGGTATATTCAGGTGTTTCTTGATGGAGGACTAAATCAGCAACGAATGGGCGTAAGTGCTAAAATATATTATCCGATGATTACCGAATTAATTTTCTTCAGCTACTAATAAGTACAATTTTGTTATAAAGATTTGTGATGCAGTTGCTGTTGCTAAGATCTTGAACGCAACTCTCGTAATCCCGCATCTTGAAGTAAATCCCGTTTGGAAAGATTCAAGGTCCGTTTTTTTTTTTTGTCCGAGAATATATTTTCTCGTTTACTATGTTATATATGAAGTCATAATTAACTAAACGGGATTCTATTACAACAACCATGTTCTCTCGGTATGCAGCACATTCATGGATATATTTGACGTGGATCACTTCATTAATATATTGAAAGACGACATAAAAATAGTCAAAGAACTGCCCGAAGAATATTTTTGGAGCACACGAGAATATTACGCAACTGCCATTCGAGCCACCAGGGTAAAAACAGCACCCGTTCATGCTTCTGCAAACTGGTACATCGAAAACGTTCTACCTCTCCTGCAAAGCTATGGAATTGCTGCAATCGCACCGTTTTCTCATCGCCTGGCTTTCGACAACATGCCAAATGAAATCCAACGGCTACGATGCAAAGTCAACTTCCAAGCATTGACTTTCGTCCCTCACATCAAATCCCTCGGTCATGATCTCGTTACTCGCCTCAGATATTCTCCCACACAAGTCAACAAGAAAGCCACCGGAAAGTTTGTTGTACTCCATCTTAGGTTCGACAAGGTCTGTTGTGTGTGAGTGTCCTTAAAGATTCAATTTTTAATTTAATTTTTTATTGATTTATTTTAGAGTCGAGATTTTTTTTGGTTGTCAGGATATGGCAGCTCACTCGGCGTGCGATTTTGGTGGAGGGAAGGCTGAAAAATTGGCTTTAGCTAAGTATAGGCAGGTTATTTGGCAAGGAAGGGTATTAAATTCGCAATTTACCGACGAAGAGTTGAGGAGCAGAGGGCGTTGCCCGTTAACTCCCGAAGAAATTGGATTGCTTTTAGCAGCTTTGGGATTCGATAATAGTACTCGATTGTATCTTGCTTCCCACAAGGTCAGAATGAATTGAAAAGTTCTCTTACACACTTAATATTTTTAATTTTGCGTGAAGTAAATTCGATACTTGAACCAATCAAACAAAAGCGACAATCATCTTACATTTTTAATTTATTTACTCGTAAGTTTCCTCGATTGTCCTTAGTTTCAAGTTTGAACCCGAAACCCAAAACCCGAACCCGAAACCCGAAACCCAAACCCGAAATTGTGGTTTTTGCATTCTCAATTTTTAGCAATATTATTTTTGATTATATTTAGGTATACGGCGGTGAAGCAAGAATCTCGACATTGCGAAGTATGTTTCCTCTAATGGAAGACAAAAAGAGCCTGGCGTCTTCCGAAGAAAGAGCTCAAATTCAAGGAAAGGCTTCTTTATTAGCAGCGCTCGATTATTACGTCAGCATGCACAGTGATATCTTCATTTCTGCTTCTCCCGGAAATATGCACAACGCTGTGGTAAACCTCGTATCTTCTAATAAAAAAATTAAGATATCTATATCTTGGATTTATGATTATTAAACTTTTGTCCAAATTTTGAGTTTCGACGACTTTTTTTCTTTTTCTTTTTAATTAAAAAAACAGGTGGGCCATAGAACATACGAAAACATGAAGACTATAAGGCCAAACATGGGATTATTAGGACAGCTTTTCTTGAACAAGAGCTTAATTTGGACAGAGTTTGAAGAAGCTGTAATGCAAGGGCATAAAAGCAGACAAGGGCAGCTGCGACTACGTAAACCTAGGCAGTCTATATATACTTATCCTGCTCCCGATTGCATGTGCAGCAATGCTTGAGACACGAGGTAATTAATTTATTAATTAAATCTTGTTACAAGAGGTTATAGTGTCGATCGATATATCTGGCTTGTACTATTTAAAATAAATCGTGTCCCTCCCTTTTACATGTTCAGTTATATGGGGTTGAAAAATCGATTTTATCCTGGTTTGAAATAGCAGATTCTTGAACAGCGGTTAGGGTATTCTTGTAATATGTTCGTCCGATATACTTATAATTATTTTATTTGTTTGTCCGAGCTTTGATTTGTTGTTCAGCTAAATCATTTTTATCCGTTTCGGGACGTTTCGAAATCAACCTTCGACTTAGAGAAACGAGTAATCTATAGCTAATTTACCATTAACATCTACTTTTACAAACACCATCGATGATGCATAAACAAAGAATCTTGACAAGAAATATACATATATATATATGGATTAATATTTACAATGTTTTTACATCCCGATTAACTCAGAGCATCCTAAGAAGCAGAGACGTTTGATCGCTTAATATTATTATCACCTTGTTCCTTAACTTCTTCCGGAATGTTATTATTATTCGATGTGGGAATCGTATTATCTGATTCTTCGTCAATGGGCAAAGATCTCTTTGAGCCATCCAAAGCAACCCCGAGTACAATATTCTCTTCGAGAGAACTAATAGCTGAATTCTTGCCATTAGTATTATGACTCGCCGATTTCGATGGAGATTTCGAACTTTTGATATCGACTTGACCGTTATTTTGTTCGTCGGTCTTTTCACCACCAGATGATTTACTAGCAGCAGCAGTATTATTCTCCGCTTTACTTTCAGTCGCTGACTCATCACTTTTTGGTCGAGCATGAGATTTAGTCTTGTCTTGTTCTTCTTCTTCTTCATCTTCGATTTTATAGGAAGGCTCGATCAATAGTGCGCGGTTTGAAGAAGAAGCAGCAGCAGCTCCCCAGCTGAATATGGAATCTGGAAACGGTACAGTGTCCACGTCAGCGTCCCTGTATGTCTTCTGTATTGTACGTATTGGAGTGGCCAAACGAGCACGGTGGTGTGTAATTACTCTCAAAAGATCGTGGAGAATTGCTTCCTGTTTTTTTTTTTCCTCAACCCATAAATGGCAGCAAAATAGATAAGCAAATAAATATATACGAGAAAAAGAAAAAAACAGCATATTCACCTTAACGCACATATACTCTTCAAAACGCGATGTCTTCACGAAGCAGGACACCATTATCTGTCGAGAATCACAAATAATATACTCTGGTCATCGTTTGATAAAACATATTGCAAAACAAACACAATGCAGAATATTTCGATTTCATTCATAAATTATTTTACAAAAACTAATCAAAAAACAAAGAAAAAAAGAAAAAAAACAAACCAAGAGGGCCTGATTTTCAGGATCGATATTATCCAAGAATACTCTTCTATGCAGTTTCTGTTGTTCTACTTGATGATTCTTTGCCAGAACCTTGCGCATATCGGCTACAATGTTCTGTATGCATATGACAATTAGAAAAGGATAATCAAATTCAAGAAAAGGGATTTATCGTAAGTGCAGGAAATATAATACGATGCTCACGTTAATTTTGCCGACATCCAAGTGACTGATTGCCAGGTGTGTTTTAATACGCCAGTGAGTTTTTTGACTGAGATTTCTCACAACGTTCACACTGAACTTGTGGTTCGGGATGTGGATTGCTTCTCGGTCGTCACCTCTAATAATTGTCGGTGACCACCACCCCATATGCTACGAAATGAATTTGCATTTTTTAAGAAGATATGCTCTTAAATAAATAAAATAAAAATAAAAATCGATATATTGGTCATCACCTCAACCGTTCCCGAAACTTCATAGCCTTGAATCTTGGTTTGAATCCATTCGTTCAAGACAAATGGCCGGGTTGTATGAATCATTACACTCGACAGAAACTTCGTGAGAATCTGTCAACAATTTAAAAAAAAAAAACAAAAAAAAAAAAAACACTAAAATAAGATTTACTCAATGTATTTTTATTTGAAAAATAAATATTAATAAATTTAATTTTCCACCTCACGACCGGCAAGAGTGAGCAAAACTGTCCCGAGCCCACCTGCTGTTAACCATTTTTGGGTTGAGAAACCTAACAACTCCATAAACAATGATACAGCTGCAACCCATACTGCTGTATACAAAGCTCTGACTGTAAACTGGAAACCCATCTGCCGAAAATAAGCAAAGAAAAAAATGTATCGATTTTGAAATCATGTTTCAGTGAAACGAACAGAGAGATGAGTAACATACATTTCTGGTGTCGGTTTGTTCGTTTCTCTCCATGAAGAAATTTTGTGCTTGTTGAATTACACTGCATAAAGTGATCCGAACAAGTCTTAGTCCTTCCTGCCGTAGTTGTATCATGAAAAACGTATGAATATAACGGAAAATGCTCTATGCGACTAAACATTTATTTTAAGACACGAAGAAAAGTTTTTTCATGATTGAAATCATCCCAACTGTTGTCTTTTTTTATTACATACAATATCTATTTGGACATTATTTTTCCCTCAAAATTTTTAATAAAGAACAGATAACGACACTGACCTTGACAAGCAATACGCAAAGGCCAACACCGTTGACAACGATCTGACAAAATTTAGGAGCCGTTGTTTAACAATTTGAGCAGATTCCGAGGGAAGAATCATCGGATCCAATGCTCTGTAAGATATATTCACTTTCAATTTAGTACCGTTCACAAATTTAGATTCTCTTAATCAGATAATAACTAACTAACCTGCAGATAAATATAGCTCCCGTCCACAGCATTAATGGCTGGATATAAGAGACTGTAACATGATACGTGCTGCTCTTTTTCCAACTGCTATCACTCGTCTGCATTACGTAATAAAGAAACTCAACTCAATTCGACATAGTCTCTTTCCATATTAGTAGAACCAGAACGAACAATCGAATAAAAACTAAATTGTTACAGCGCATACCCTCAGAAATACGTTTCGACTTTGTCTCACAAGTGGACAAAGTCCCCATACTGCAAAAATAACAATACCCAACGCCGAAGCCAATTTTATCGCGAGTGGATTTCCTTGCAAACGATCAAACGATCTTCAAAAAATGCAACGAGTTTTTGTGTTAGAGGGGTGTATGCAATCACTATTCATCCATATAAAATGCAGAATTAACTGTAAACACCGATCATATCTCAATATAACCGATTTTCAGAAGGAAAAGAAAAACACAATCGATTTTTTTTTTCTGATTAAATCAATTAACTTAAATTTAATCAGTTACCTTGTTAAATTTAAAGTTGCATTCTTTACGAATGCAGCGTCCAAATTAGGGCATCTGTTCAGAAAACAGTGGCATTTGAACTGATGATTTCTGCAGTGGGTGGTGGTGCATACTTTTCTTCGAATTCTCTTCGAAAGATTTTTATTACAAGGATAATCTGGCTGAAAATTGCAATATACAAAATCAATCACCAGCTTTATCGAAATTTAAAAAATTAAAATATAATTAGAATTAAATTAAATTCCCCTCTAATAAATTGAAAAGAGCAAAACTCCAAAACCTAATTCCCCTTTCAGAAATACTGATTCGAACTCAGTAAACCCTAATTTGCGTATTATTTTTGAAATTCCGCAGCTTAAAAAGTACAATAATCCAGCAAATAATGAAAAAAAATAAAAATAAAAATAAAAAATCGAGAATTTAAATGGATAATCGCGCACCCGAAATCGTTTGCTGCGTCTAACTCCGAACTCCATGGATAGCTGCAAAGCACTGTAGAGAGCCATCATTTGGATGATTGAGAAGCCAAGTATATCTCTATCAGTAATCAGTGTATGTATACAGTATATATATACACATAATCACACGTTATGTGTGTGTATTATGGATATATTTATATTTATTTATTTATTTATAAATTTGTGTGTCTATGCATGCTGGAGTGGTGGTTAACAACTGAAACTTGGATAATTGTAATTAAAATTAGGGTAATTAGTTAATAGTCCCTTAATTCTAATTTTATTAGCAATAGGACCTGTCGTTTTTACATTTTTGGATTAAAGTCCTTCCTCTGTCGTTTTGACGAAAATACCCCACGCATTTTTATTAGTGGAAAAAGTTATTTTTTTATATTTTTTTGGTTTAATTCCACTTTGCACTTTTGAAAAATAATAATAGCATTTTGCACCCCCAAAACACAATAAATCATGCACAATGCACTTTGAATTGAAAAATAAAGGCAGTCTATTTTTTATTGTTTTTTTTTTTCAGAGTGCAATATAGCAAATTAAATTGTTATTTTCTTCAACCCCAACCTAATTTCGAGCACATCAAATACTGAAAAACAAAAATCACACCGGATTATTAAAAAAAATTATAATTTCTTACAAAATAAACTTTTATCCCTATATTATTATATTGATGGATCTTTTATTAAATATTAGGAGAAATATTTAGAAGAAAATCTTATTTTCAAATAACTTGATAATGAAATGGCTGTAACATATTTTATTTTATTTTTCATAAAAAACTTTTTGTGATAATTTTTTTTTAAATATGTTGATGAGACGTATTTTTATTTTTGCATTGTATAGTTTCAAAGTGATTGATGAATACAAAAATTGATTTCACATTTGGCATCCAAGAAATATTAAATTACCTTTATTAGCTTTAAAAATTCATTCGAAGTGCATTATGCGTGATTTATTGTGTTTCGATAGTGCAAGGTGCTATTAATTTATTTCGAAGGTATAAAGTGCTAAAATGCTATATTTCAAAGGTACAAAGTGAAATTAACTCGATATTTTTGTATCAATAAAGTATTTTATATATGTAAGTACAATACACCATAAATATTTTTTTCTATTTTACGATTAGTTTATCAATGAATTTTAGGGCAAATTACGGCCAATCCTGAGGTATGGCCTAATTATAAAAAAACTCATTTTGTTTGTGTAATTACAACCACCTTCCTCATTTTAAATATTTTTACATAATGTTGGTTATTTACCAAATCAAATCGTATATTCTTCGTTAAACAGTATGAAATGTTGGTGTACCGAATTATCGATTCGGTTATATCGATTTAACATCCCTAAATTTACCTGGAGGGGTATTTTCGTAAGATGATACATAATTGGAAAGGTGGCTGTAATTATCCAAACGAAAGGGGAGTTTCATAATTTGACCATAACTCAGAAGGTGGCCGTCATTGGCCCATGTATTTTCTGATATTTTTTAAAGGTATTACTTTATTAATTACCAAAATTATTAGTTTAGTGAGTCTACTTATCAAAATTAAGATCATTAAAACCCCTGAGTAAATTGCAAATTACGCCCATCCTTTTAGGTAATGTCAACTTAGGAACAAATCTCTCATGTTTGCTAATCGTAGTAACCCTCTTAACTATGAATTTTCTTACACATCCACCATTGCGGTGCCAAAATTAGTGGAATCTTCTTAGTTATGTGTAATATTCTCCAGTTTGTATCTGTTTTATCCCATTCGAACTCCAGATTTTGAAACAGGATGTGTCTCTTGGCTTGTAAATATCAGACTGTAGTGCATCAGAACTTTTCCACAAACTAGGGAACATTCCACGAAATCTAGAAGGTTCTGCTAAATTTGACACTATAAGGATGAACGTTTAACAAAATTCATAGTTGAGGGAGTGGTTATAATTACCCAAACATGAGACGTTTTTACATAATTTGACATTACCTCAAGATTATGGCTGTAATTTACCCTTAGGTGGCAAACGCTTTTTGAAAGTGATTATGAGCTTCTTTTCTGCTCCTAATCTGTTTTCACGTGTTTGCAAAATTAACTTTTGCTTTTGCTTCTCTTAAAATAATCTGCTTTAAGCTATTTTTTTAAAAGCACCCCTAACCCTGTTTTTTCTATTTTAGTTCATTTTCCGGAATATTTGCAAACACTCTCAACTTTTAAAAATAAACACTTAAAACTAATTTAACTCACAATCACTAACTTTTGCTTTTAAATAATCATTTGCAAACACAACCTTAAACTTATTGCATAATAAATACTATTGCTTTACAAAATAGTAATTTAGAGGGTCATACAAGATAATGGAAGAAGACTATTATCACTTGGCTACTAACGAAAAAAGGTAGGGTTTATTGCAGTTGGCACCCCTTTTAGCTAATTGTTAATAAACGCCTATACTATTTTTATTATAGCAAAAAACCCCTGTAATTTATATTTTTAGCAAATTCACCCCCCCTAAAAACAAATTACATCACATGGCATTTTTGCTAATATTAATAACAATTTTTTTTAACAATTCAATCAATAAAAGTATACCAAAATAATTTAAAAAAAAAAAAACAGAAGCTAGCATTTTCCTGATAATTAATAATAATTCATAACAGGAGTGGAATAAATTATATTCCAAAAAGAACAAATTCAATCATATATACACAGACAGAACAAACCAGCAGCCAGAAAAAAAAATCGAAAAAAAAAAAAAACTCAAATTTTCCCAACAGTATTAACTGTCAACGCTCTCAACGGTGACCGTTCGTCGCATTTTGCTTCAACTTTCTTCGTCAATGGCGACGACGATGACATCATCACATTCATGCTGTTAACATTCTCCTTCACAGATTCTTCGTCTTTTCCTTCATCAATGGCGTTTACGATATTTCCCAAACTTTCCATCAGCTTACAATCTTCCACGCTCAGCTGCTCCATTCTCTTCGATATCCAACTCACCGAACTAACCAACTTCTCGTTTTTCTTCTTCAGTTCTTCAACTTCTTCCACTTCTTCGATTTCTCGTATTTTCTTTTCGTTGTTATCCAAACAGGCTTTCCTCTCCTGCTGTAGTAAATCATTTTCCAGCTCGACAATCACCAAATTCTTCTCTTGAATCTCCACCTCGTTTAACACCGCGTTCGTCTTGATCTTTTCCCAAGATTCTCGAAATAAAATCGATTCCTTCTGCACCTGCGACAATCTGCAAGAAAACGAGTTGCTCGAGTTTTCAAACTCCTCTTCCAAAGTTCCGACAAGCTTCTGCAAATCGTATATCCTCTCGTCTTTTTCTTCTAGAAGCTTCTGCTGAAGATCGTTTATCCTCTTCTCATTTTCTTCGATTTCTTGCTTAAGGTTGACCTCCACTTCCACTTGCGCAATAAGAGAAGCTTCCACTTCTCTACGCATTAAAACATTCCGTTCGAGATTCTCTTCCAGCTTTTCAGCCGACGATTTCCACATCATCAACTCAAACTCGATTTCATTCGCTTCACAGAATCTCTCGTAAAGCTCTTCGTTCGCTCTATCGAGGGCGCTGTTGACCTTTCTCAAATCGCTTTGTATTTGCAGCACTTGCTCCTCCGACAGGAGTTGACTTTTCGTTGACTCCTCGAGCATTTCTTCGAGCCTGTTCACCTCTTTCTGCAGTAGAACTTGCACTTGTTCGAGAGCTTCAACCTTTCTCAATAAAATCGACACTTTCTCTCTTTCTCCTTCGAGATCTTGTTGAACAAGACTAAGAGCATCTTTCTTTTGCTCTAACTTTTCCACCAGCTCGTAAATATTTTCCGAAAATTCCGATTTCAGTACCAATAAAGCGAGCGACGTCTCTTGATTTATCAACTCCAAATTCAGTATCACGGAATCGCAAGCGTCCAATTCTTTTTTCAGCTCGTTCAACGAATTATCCCTATTTTTCAAAGCCGATCTGCACACACTCAATTCTTCCGATAGTTTCTCCAATTCGGATTCTTTTTCTTTGAGATTCGTCGAGCATCCCATGTGGGCCCGCTCTAAAAATTTAATCTTGCTTTGAAGCTTCGAGCACGAAGAAAATCCCGCCTCGCGAATTTGAGCTTCTTGGAGTTCTTTCACCAAAACCAAACACTCTTGCTTTTCTTGATCCACCTTCTTAAACTGATACTCCATTTCTTTGTAGAGTATATCCTTCGTGCTCAACGAGCTTCTTAAACTCGCGATTTCTTGATCCCTCTTTGCGTTGAAACTCTCGAAATTCGACTTCGCCACATCGTATTCAGCACAAACACTGTCGAAGCTTGTTTTGGATTCCGAAAGCTGAGCTTCAAGAAGCTTTCTCTTGCCTTCTGCATGAGCTAGAGCTTGATTGCACATTTCGAATCGGCTTTGAAGATCGTGCAAAATTCTCGTTTGTGATTCCAAATTGGTTTGTAGAGAAGCGATGCCGTCAAGAAGTGAAGCTTTCTCCTTCTCCCATTCCTTCTCCTTTGTCTTGAGCTGATTCCGAAGCTTTTCGTGGGCTTCTTCTAAATGAACGAATTGTTCCTTTTTCCACTTCAGCTGATCTTCGAATTTTTTCTTCTCCTCCTCTAATTTCAAGAAAGCGTTTTCATCTCTCCCTTTTAATCCTTTCGTCTTATTCTCAGATTTATCCTCGGAAAAATCTAAAATCTTTTTAAATCCTTTAATCTCGTGTTCCAGTGCGGAGATTTGCTGCTCTTGATCGAAAATTTTCGAATTCGCGTTATCCAAAGCCAACGCCATTGCTTCCTTGTTCTCCCACTCGATTTCCCTCGTACGAAGCTGGTTTCGAAGCTTGTCGTGGGCTTCTTCTAAATGGCAAAATTGTTCCTTTTTCCATTTGAGCTCGTCTTCTACCTTTCTCTTCTCCTCCTGTAATTTAAAGAAGCCATCTTCTCTCACTTTTAACTCTTTGGAAGCTTCGGTATTATTCTCAGCTTCTAAGCACTTCTTCTCCGAAAAAGCTAAAAGCTTTTTAACTCCTTCGATCTCGTCTTTCAGCCCGCGGATTTGCTTTTCTTGATCGGTGTTTTTGGCGTTTGAATCATCCAAAGCCGAAGCAAGTGCTTTGTTCTCTTCTTCGCACTTGCGAAGCTTCTCAGTAAACTCGGAACGGAGCTTTTCGTTCAGACAAGTGAGATTCTTGATAATCGATTCTTTCTGAGTCGAACTAGACTTCAACTCCTCGTACATTTGTTTGACAGCACAAAATCCACCATCTTTCTCAGTTAGTTCATGAGCTAATTTCTCTAACTTGGAACTTGTCTCCTTATCTTTGCTCAATTGGTCATTGTGGGCCCGCCTTAAACTTTCGGCTAACTCTGCTTTGGCACGGCATTGCTCTTTCAGATTTTCGATCTCGTCTTTTGCTCGATCCAGCTCTTCACACAGAGCATCCATTTTTTTTCTTCACTTCACAATAACGTATCGAGACTAAAAGCCCTGGTTTGCATTTTTAAGACAAAGATTACCAATCGGGAAATACAAACCAAAAAACAAATTACGTTTACGAGTACGGAAATATTTACGTAAAGAATCACAAAATTATTATGTCATTGTGACAATGATATTTGAAACTACAAAGAACCAAAGAATCTGCAATTTCTACTATCTTGCTATAATTAACCAATTGACAGCCAAAACCGAAACCCGAAACCCGAAACCCCGAAACCCGAAACCCGAAACATTCCTTCTTAGGGAATTAACGATCAGTCGACTTCAAAAAGAGCTGCACTTGCAATGAAATCGCTACGGCTAGTATTTCGTATAGCATAACTAATCTACAAGAAACACTCGTAAATACCGAAGCTTTACATTAATCAGATGAGAGAAGTGTCTAAATCTTGAGAATTATTCTAACATAGTTGTATTAGCATGAATTGTCCAGTGTTCTTCGTGATCCCGTGAAACTAATTTCAAATTGTGCAGGTTCTTGAAAATTTCAGCTAAACAAAAATAAAAATAAACATAATAATAAAAACTCAAACAGCATAGAAATCCCAAGATTCTTGAAAATCAATTATATGCCCACTAATTAAAAAAAAAAAAAAAAAGCTCAATTAAAGTACCTGGAATTGGGTATTGTCTAAACGAACACTTCCGCAAATTGAATTAAAAAAAACAAGAACTAGGGCTCGCATTAGAGGTCAGTGATCTTGATATTTTTGTGGGTTTGATCTCAATTTTCTTGATTTATTTTTGAACGGTGAAAAATTGAAAGTGGGGGAACAAGAAAAAAAAGTGAAAGAGAAGGTTGTTTTGAGAGAGATATAGCCGTTGGGGTTTGAATGCGTTCGAGGAAGTGGTCGTTTATCGGTTTAACGGCGTTGGGTTCTGATTTACTTATTTTTTATTTATTTATTTTTTAATAATATTTGATGGCTTTCCCGTTACTATTTACTAGGAGTGTAGGCCTACTAGCCGTTAGACTTGAAGCCCATAATGAAGGTAACCGGGTTGGCCTTTTGAGATGATATCGAATATGGATAGTCCGTTTCGAACCGGACTTTGACCCGAGTTCTGAATATTTCACTTATTAAGGGGCACAATTTCAACCCGACCCGTCATGATTTTGGACAGGGTCGAAGAAATTTTTAGGAGCCAAGTATTACATGAGATCATTTTTTTTTTTTTTTTTTTTTTTTTTTTTTTCTAAACTTGAGTTTTTTTTTCTTTCGAGAAGATAACAATTACATTGGTATGTTCGTCCATTTTATAATAATGAATGGACTAACAATTACTGGTTATTTTTATGCTACACCCGGTGAGAGTTTTTTTTTTTTTTTTGAATAAATTCAAGTCCATTACAAGGGGAAATAGGGGTGGGGGGGGACTCGAACCCTAGACCGTTACCCTATTGGTAAAGGCTAGGTACCAACTCTCCTAATGAGGGTTGGTCACCCGGTGAGAGTTACATCGGATGTTTTTTTACTATTAATCTGCACACACACCAATGTAAGTGTGTGTATTTGTGTGTATATGGATGAGATCTACCTGATGTACCCGGTATAGCATAGTATAAATCGAGATACGTTATAGAATTTAGTTCGATTTTTCTGTAAATGATTTAAAGGGTGTTTGGCTAAACTTATAAGATGTTTAAGAGCTTATAAGCTCTTTTAAATAAATAAGATATTGGAGAGCAAATAAGATATTACATTTACCCCATCTTTTTATTTAAGATCTTATAATGAACAAAAATAGCAAATAAGCTCATTAACCAAACAGTATAAAAATTAATTCTAAAAATAAGATGTAACAGTTTATCATTTCTTAAAACATCTTATCAGACGTAAGAATTTACCAGTCGTTTAAAATAAATTTAACCAAACAGACCATTCATTTGAGGAAGACATGAATTCTATAATTTCTCAAGCCGGTTCTTTTCACTTTGTAATTAGAACTTAGCTACTCATAAGTTTGGGGATAAATAAAATAGAAATTATAGAAGAAAGAAGAAAAACTATTATTGAGTACTCGTGAATTTTTGTTCTTCGCGCATCGCTAGTTGCTTTAAAATTCCGTGTTTGGATCCCTAATTTCATTGATAAATTCTCTTATACAATGGTTAAAACTTGATCAAATAGGTAAGAGCTTCATTCTGCAGTTTAAACTTCTTTATCGTGTAGAATCAGAGTCTCAGACGACTGTTTGAGATTTCAACACAAAATTGGGACGGCCATCTAAAAAATGTGTGGCCTTTTTCTTATGCTTCTCTAGTCAGACGACCGTCTGAGATTCTAGTACAATATTGGGACAACCGTCCCTAGCCTCCCTTGATATACTTCTGCCGATTTTTCCATTCTTGTCCGTTTTTAAGCTGTTTTGCGCTTCTAACGTCCGATTCACCAACTTGCACTTAAATCACATAAATGAGTCGTTAAGCACCATCCTAGCGATAAAATCTCACAGCAATTCGCGTAAGAAAATATAATTCGGAGTGTAAAATCTACACTCAACACTCCTAAGTTATCCAAATAATAAACTATGATAATTAATATGAAAAAATGATTATGCTCTAGAATAATTTTCTTGGTTTTTAAAACTAAATTTCCAATGTCCATTCTCCTTATGCCACAATTTATATTCCCAGTGGTTAATTTAATATCCCATCACATCAAACTAATGGAAATAAACAAAAAGAAAAAATAACTTACCATTATATAACAACTTTATTTAATCCAAAGTCAAACCATGAGATAAAATGATTCTTGATTTATTATGGTTATGCTGTTTATTACATCTCAGCAATAATAAAATTTCTTGTAATTTAAAAAAAAAATCAAAATATATATTATCTAAAAGAGAACAGGGTCGATATAGAATTTTTTCTAAACTAAAAGGTAAGTTTTGTATAAACAATAGAAATCAGGGTCCAATCTGTAATTTTCTGAAAGTAAACAAATACAAAAAGGCCCCACAAGACTTTCAGTTGGTTTCTCTCTCCTAAAAAATGAGATAGAAGAGAGAGAAAGTCAGAGAGGAGTCATCAATCAGCAGAAATTGAATCGTTTTAAGAGAGATACAGTTCTCTACGAATTTTCAAACCCTTGTTTTTCTCCGTCAATTGTTTTTCTTGTTACTCGAGAGGAAAACTGTATCTGCCGTTTTGCTTCTTCAATTCCGGATTTTCCGGCGGTGTTTCCGTCCGATCTTCACCTGAATCCGGTCAATTTTACAGTAAATTAAACCCAACCGGCGATTGACGACACGGATTAAAGCGTCTTCTTTTAACATGATCATTCTCTTCAATCAGTAAAAAAAAAGTTTTTTTTTTTTTGATTTTTTTTTTTGCGGAATTGGGGCATCTGCTTAAATTAAGTACAATAACTGTTGAAAATTCGTTGCAACTCTTCAAATTTTCATTCGCGAGAGTGTTTGAAGGGACTATTGGTTAATCAATTGACTTTATATCTGTAATTAATTCGTGTTTTGATATTTTAGGGTTTGGGGGTTGATTTGAAATTGTAAGATGGCTCTTTCTTTCACTAGAATTTCTTGGTTATGGTTGGGTGGGAAAGACAAAGAGAAAGTCTCTAATGGTGGGTTAATAAATTCATTAAATTCGTTGGGTGAATGGGGTTTAGGGTTGAGAGGAGAGAGAGAGACAGAAGCTCTGAAATTAATGAAGGGGGGCGATATTACGAGAATGCCCTCGTCGGGCTCGAGTAGAAAGTCGAAGAGGAAATGGAAGAGTAGGGAAGATAGAATCAGTAAGATAGACAGAGAGTACGATGTGGTGTTAGTTCCGTCAGATGGTGCTTGTTTATCGGGGTCGGAATCCGACGACTCTGATTGGTCGATCGGGTGGCTCGAGCCGCACGCCCCCGATTTTCAGAGCGACGACGAGGATAGTTTTGCTGTTTTGGTGCCTTGCTATAGAAATCAAGAATTGGAGGGGAAAAAGGAGGAGTATAGTGCTAAGTTCTTGATTTCTGCTAAGAACGTTCGAAATGGTTATTCTGCTGGTAAGTCTAGGGCTTTTTTATATGAATTACGATTGATATTATTGTTTTGCTATGTTAGTTTGCTCGATTGTTGTATGAATGAATGCCTTTGTTTGTGGTAGTATTTGGCATATAATTGACAACTCTCGGTTTCTAAATACGGATGAAAAGGGATTGTCGTTTCTTTTCAAAACCCTGTTAATTTGATCTTGATTTGAGATGTATATGTGAAGCATTTGATTAAGCAAGAGCTAAAAGACGAATCTTTGATTTGCCATGTTAATTTCCTCGATTGGCGTAGAATGATTTTCGGAATTCTCTTATGAATCTTTGTTTCTTAGTTGTATTGGAAAATCTCGTGTATCCGTTTTTTTTTTTTTTTTTTTCTGAATTAAGATTACGAACAAATGAAGCTTTCTTCGGGTGAAAACAAACGGGTTCGTCCATTGTTTTATTCGAACAATAGTTCGTAAATATTTTCTTTACTCGTTATATTGGATATACGCACTATGAGAGCCTCGTATGTGTTCCGACTTCAACGCCCCGCAAACTCTAATTTATTTTGCTCCGTTTCTTGATTTTTCTACACTACACATATTCACCTTCTTAAACTCTCTCATTTTAGAGAAATCTAATTAAGTACAATTCTTCAGGGTATCAGTGTTAGGCTTACGTCGACCGAGGACTGAACGGAAACTCGACATATCTTGCTGTTGATTGGTTCACCACGAACGTCGTTAAATTTTCTAGATTTTTCCATTTTTATTTTGCTGGTGTAAATAAATTCTGAAAATAATCAGTTGATGGAAATAAGGTGCTCTATTGCTTGTGTACATATTTGTTTTTTTATTGGACAAGAATTTCCCCACCTTATATATTGTTCAAGTGTGGTTTTCATTGTTAAAATCTCAAGTGATATCTTTGGTTTTGTCATTGAGTTCTTATTTGGTGGGCTCTATTGCAATTTGCACCTTTATTTTATTTTTTTGATTTTTTTCAGCAGTTGATTTTGTTTTTTTTTTTGGAATTTTTTGCTGTTGTTAACCGCCTGTTAACGCTGTTGACTTTTTCTTTTCAGCGCAACACATTAATATTATTGTATAATGCAATAATTTTAAAGAAAAATTAAATTAATATTATTGTGCTCATCGTCAACACAATAAAAAATAATTTAGATTAAAAAATAATATTATTGTGTAACAAAGTAATTAAATTAAATTAATATTATTATGCTCATCGGTCAACACAATAAAAAAAATAATTTAGATTAAAAATAATATTATTGAGTAACAAAGTAATTAATATTATTATGTTAGATAATAATATTAATGTTTTGACCCGGTAAAAAAATGAAAAAAAAAGTTAAAAATATAAATTGATATTAATGTACAACACAGTAATATTATTGTGTTGATCGATCGGTCCAATCAACACAGAAAAAAATGTCGGTCAATGGTTGCGACGGTCAAAATCGCGTTGGGGTCAAAATATTCTGAATTAGTTAAATTATGGTTTAAAATTCGCTAGATTGGATGCCGTGTGACAAAGTTATGCATGAAATAATCACATTTTGAATTTTAGATACCTTGATATGCCTAATTGGGCCAACCCAATGGGCCTACAAGGTATTTACCTACTGGGCCACGAGCCCAATATCGAAGACCAATATCACCGAGACCCAAACACCTTCAAGTAAGGCTTGGGCCCAACAAAGCAAACCCAACCCAATAAACGACATATAAATAGAGGTTTTACTCATTTTACTAAGGTACGTCCTATTAACTGAGCAATACTACAATGCGTATTCTCTGGACTATTTCTATGATCAGCACGTCTGACTTGAGCGTCGGAGGGGTTTCCGCCGGATCAACCCCCGGCTTAGTTCATGTGTTCTATGATCGCAGGTACCTCAGGATCATCAAGTTGTCAAGCTACTGATCTGCTTTGCTCTCCCAGTTCATTTTCTACACTACCCCAGGTGATCTACATTTTAGCATCATCATACCTCAATACATCAAAGTTGTGAGCAATATCCATTGGTTCATGTATATCTTTCTCATCTGACATCCAATTTTGTTGATTCAAGTTGGATTAGAAAACTAACTCAGAATATAATTTGAAATAAAAATTTATATATTCTATTATTGTTAAAAACTTAAAACAGTTAGATTGCAATGATCCGAACCCACAATATTTTTAACCTACCCACGGTTGTATTAATTATCTGGAAAAAAAATTATATATTAATTAATTTATTTGAATGGTAGAACATAAATAATGGTGAGAGAAAACCTCAAAAACCAATGATACCATAAACTTAGGGTTTGAACAAATGTTGTAAGAGAAAAGATAGTATAATTTCCCCCTTTTTCCTCTCTTGTTTTTCTGTTGGAAACTCTTTCTCTTCCCTCATTCTTCATTCACTGCCATGTGACTTCTCTTAGGGGAGAAAGAGTTTCACATTTTCCTCCTATTTTTTTTATTAAAAAAAAATTATAAGAAAAAGAAAAAAAAAAGAAAAAAAGAAAAAAGAAAAAAATGTTGCAGAGAGCTGCAAGCAATGCTTGTTCATGGTGGTGGGCCAGCCACATTCGGACAAAGCAATCTAAATGGCTTGAACAAAGCATGCAGGGTAATTTTAGCATTACACAAATAATTCTCTCCTTTTTATTGTTATTTCTTTATATATATATATATATATATATATATATATATATATATATATGTGTGATTTTCTAATATAAATTGTAAAAACTTTTTTTTCAAGATTGGATTCATTTTTTTTTATACATTGAATTGTTCGGGGTGTAATTATTTTTTTTTAATCGAAGATTTAAAAGATGTTTTTGAGCTTTGTTTGATTAGGAATCGAGCTCGACTCGAACTCAAACGAGCTTTAAACGACCTGAGTTTTTGGAATGAGCTTTATATCTTATTGAATCAAAAATAGTTATTCGATTACCTTTTAATGATCGATCTCAAGTCGAGCATCAACTAACTTTTCCAATTTATGTCCATGGATTTAAAAAAAAACAACAAGGTTCCTCGCATTTATATATTTTTATTTTGTGAATGAAAAGAAAGACATAAGAAATTGTTGTTAGAAAATAGAAGGGTAAGTTACTACCACCGCTGAAGCAAATGTCAAATTATGAAACAAACCCTATTGTTTGGATATGGATAATTACAATCGTCCATCAACTATATATTGTCTTACATATCCACCTTTATGGTGTTAAATTTAGCTACTGAAAGATGAGTTTTTTCGTAAGACAATACATAGTTGAGGGATTGCTGTAATTATCCAAATAATTGGGATTTTTTCATAATTTGACCTTACCTCAGGGGTGGCCGTAATTTGCCGAGAAAGAGAAAAAAGAGAAAAAAACAAACAAACAAACAATGTTATTTCTTTCTTATTCTTTAATACTTTCATTTCCTTTTCTCTAACATCAATTGTAAGCTTTCCTTAGACATGGAAGACAAAGTCCACAGCATGCTGAAGCTAATCGAAGAAGACGGAGACTCCTTCGCAAAGAGAGCCGAAATGTACTACAAAAGAAGACCCGAGCTAATAAACTCCGTCGAAGAAACTTACCGAGCATTCAAAGCATTAGCCGACCGATACGACCTCTTATCAAAAGAGCTCCAAAACGCAAACCACACAATAGCGACCGTATTCCCGGAGCAAGTCCAATTCGACATGGACGAGGACGAAGATTGCCTCACGCCGAAGAAAATCCCCAAAAACCCTCAAATAATCCCGACCGTCAATCCACCGAACGTGCCCAAAGTTCCAAAGGCGCCGATCGAGAATCTCAAAGGTCTCATAAGTACCGCCAAGAACCAACTCAAGAAATCGTCCAAGGAGACAAAAGTTGCGGCCACAGTAAAACCCGTGGTGAAGTCCGGATTGAGCAAGGACGAAGCTCTCGTGGAGATCAATAAGCTCCATAAGGATATTTTGGCTTTGCAGACGGTTAAGGAGTTTGTGAAGAGCTCGTACGAGAGTGGGCTCGCTAAGTATTGGGGGATCGAGAATCAGATTATGGAGATGCAGGATAAAGTTTGCAGGTATGCATTGTACTCTTGATACTTGATTTAAGATTTCGATTGTTTGTTTCTGTTTGACAAAATATGAAGTTTGGCTCGAGCTCGAGCTCGATCTCGATCAGAACTAATTTTTCATCCAAAATTCATAAAGAATATCTAAATTTGAAGAAAATCAACATTCAAGAAATACATAATTATGTTTTAATTTATTCTACTTAAATAGAAGTCTACAAATACTTTTTAGCATAGAACCCACCCTGCAACATATAACCCACCCCCGTTCCTTTCTGCCCCTCGCCACATAGCTAAGTCAGCCTTGCTCAAAAGAGTGTTATGTGTTAGCCTCGCTCGAAAGTGTGTTCTGTGTGGTAAGTGGTGGAAGAAAGTTTTATTGCTTAGAAAGTTAAGAACACAACCGTGTGTTTTGCTTGACTCGATTCATTTACACCGCCACTATGTGCACAGGTTGCAGGACGAGTTCGATGTGGAAACAGTCATCGAGGACAACGAGGCTCGGACGTTGATGGCCGAGGCGGCGCTCAAATCGTGCCAAGAAACTCTAGCCGCTTTGGAAGAGAAACAAGAGAAGTCCACTCAAGAAGCGAAGGAGGAGTTCAAGAAGATCGAATCCGCGCAAGAACTAATCAAGTCCATCAGGCGCGATTACATAAAAGAACCAACCAGCGAAGAAAAGCCGAGCAGAGCAGAAGAAGGCGACGCTAACAAAACCGTAAGTGATTCGGTACAAGGGTCGAATGTAGTTAGTAGCCGAGATGCGGGCCCCGCAGGGACTCTGACAGTGACTGAGCTGGCGGAGAAGATTGACGAGTTGGTGAATAAGGTGATCAACTTAGAAACCGCGGTTTCATCGCAGACAGTTCTCATCAACACGTTGAGAACCGAAGCCGACGATCTCCACGCGCAGATCAAGAATCTCCAAAACGAAAAGGAGACTTTGATCGGCGATACGCAAAATTTGAGCGCACGAGTGAAAGAAATGGAGGATAAACTAAAGAGAATCCAAGATCTCAACAAGAACGTGGTGACCCAAAACACTAATCTCCAAACGAACTTCGCCGAAGCTCGTTCGAGCCTTGACCACCTCTCGGAGAAGCTCGGTAGCGTAAAGCCGGACGAGGAATTCGAGGAAACTACATCGTCGTTGTCTGAAAACGAGGGGCATGTTGTTATTAAAGAAGAAATAGATGCTCGAACTCCGACGAAAGACGAAAAAGATGCTCAAGTTCCGATGAAAGACGAAAAACATGTTAAGGAGAGTGAAAAGAGCATCACCGAGGAGGTGAAAGAAGTCGATACAAATGTTGCGAGTACTTCTAGGGCGGCCCCACTAGAGAAAATGCAACAGGAGGTGGCGCCTAAACAAGAAGAAGGAGAAGGAGTGAAAAAACCGGTTAAAAAAACGGTTACATTTCTTGACGAGAAATCGAAAGAAGTAGTAGTGGACGAGTCGCCTGTAAAATCCGAAAGCGAAAAAGGCGAGACGAAGAAAGAAGGCGCTCTTAACTGGCAGCAGATGCTATTGAATGGGGCCGAGGATGGAGAGAAGATCCTCATAAAGGAATATGCCGATCTTCTCAAGAACTTCAAAGACGTCAAGAAGAAGCTAAACAACACGGAGAAGAAAGAAAAGGACAGCATATTCGATATCACCATCCAATTGAGAGACCTAAAACAAGCTCTCCATAAACGCGATCAAGAAATCCACCGTCTCCATCAACAGCTAAACAACGTCAACAACAACAACAACAACAATAATAATAGTGACAATAATAACAATAACGATGTCGAAAATGAAGAGAAGGATCGAAGTGTAAAACCCGAAGAATTTCAACAAGAAGAAGAAGAAGATATAAATTCGGTTTCGGTCGGCGCAAATCCAGCACCGCTCTCGATCATCGAGGAGAAGCTCCGGCTAGAAATAGACGCAATACTCGACGAGAATCTTGATTTCTGGCTAAGATTCAGCACGACGTTCCACCAGGTGCAAAAATTCAAGAGCGAAGTGCAGGACTTGCAAGAAGAGATATCGAAGCTAAAGGACAAAAGGAGGAACCAAGAAGGGTCAATCACGGCCCAACAAAAATCCGAGGCCCGGCCCATTTACAAGCACCTCCGCGAAATTCAGACAGAGCTCACCGTATGGTTAGAGCAAAGCTATACCTTAAAAGACGAGCTGAAACGGAGGTTCGCCTCTCTGTGCAACATCCAGGAGGAGATAATGAAGGCACTCAACGAAGGCGTCGAGGAAGAAGAGATTAGCTTCAGCAGTCATCAAGCTGCGAAACTGCAAGGCGAGATATTGAATATGAAGCAAGAGAATAATAAGGTGAGAGAAGAGCTGCAGTCGGGTCTAGACCATGTTAGTACGCTTCAAATGGAGATAGACAAGACTTTGAGAGAGCTGAACCAAGAGTTTGGTGTGTCGAGCGATCAGCCGAAGCAGCTGCAGCAATCTATGAGCAGGTCGCGGGTCCCGCTTAGGTCGTTCATATTCGGGACCAAGGCGAAGAAGCAGAAGCACTCGCTTTTCTCGTTTATGCATCCGAACAGGAAGTTCCATGTTGTGAGAGCTGGTGTGCCCCTCTCCAATCAGTGATTTTTCTGTCGGGTTTTCAAAAAAAAAACATGGATTTTATTGTATTTTAGAAGTTCATATATATATGTGCAGATAGTTCACCAACTTTTTTTTTTTTTTAAATTGCTGTATTGGTTTTCTGAAGCAAGAATTGTAAACTATCGGATTCTTGTAGTCTGTAAAGCAGGAAACCGTCGTCCGTTTTTTTTTTTTTTTGTCTGTGTGTTTTCGTTCTACTAGCTCTATCAGATTCTCGTATTCTGTAAGAAGGAATACTTTGTTTTTCGTTTTTTTCTTTCTCGTGTTTTCTCTCATTTTTTTAAATTTAAATCATTAGCCTACATAATATAATATATATATAGGGATTGTCGTAATAGTAAAAGCCAGTCTAACATCATGCAAAGAACAAGCTCAATTTCGATATTTATGCGAAAACATTTCACTTAACATGCTGCAAATCGCAGTTCAGAACCAACAAAGAGAAGGTGTCGAAAACTTATCTCTGAAGTGGAAAACGAATAATACCGATAAAAGACGAAAAGGGTTCTATTCTATACGTAGAGCGGCTTTTACCGAGCGGACAATAATGCTAATTCCTGAACGAAACTTCCGAAACCACCTTTGCTCCTCTGCCTTTAGCCATGTAAAGTCCCACATGATGCATCACGTCCTATAACACGTAGTGTAAGAACAATAAGTAACGTAAAATCAGTGAATTAATAATTACCTAGTTTTTTTTTTTTTAATTGAATATATTCATCCGGCATTGTTAGAATCGATAATTGTTCTTTTGTACAAGAAGTTGTAATAACAAATAATGAGCGACGAGAAAAGACAAGAAAAAAGTGATCGATTGATATCACATGTCCTAATTACCTGAGGATGAGCTAAAGAGCCTTTGATATCTCGAGCAATATTTATAGGAAGATCGAAAGTTGCACAACCACGAGAATACACGATTACTTCCTCCAATGGAGAAATCAATCCACGGTTTCTAGCGGACAACGTCGAGCAAACAAAGTCCAATACGCATATGTCTGTGCAAATCCCTACAACCAATATCTTCAGACAAACAAACAAACAAACAAACACGTATTTCCATCAAATCATAATTTTGTTGTGCGCGTATATATATAGATATATATATAGATATAAAAAGAAAAAGGAAAACTCACGACTTTGATCTCGTTGGTTTTCACCCAATCAACAAAGACATTGGATCCATCTTTCTCCAAAGAACCAAGAAACCCATCGATACAATCTTTACGTCTAAGCGTGACATTCGGTTCGTTTTCGAGCCACTGCAAAGCTGAGTAAACCATAAACAAACACCGTTAGACAAAACAAACAAAAACAAAAAAATAAAATAGAAAGGAAATAAGGGAATTATTACAAGGAACCAATTCCGACTCATCGGTTCCAGCTATACAGTGAGGTGGATAAGGCGGCTCCGGAATGTCGGGATGATGAGAATCGAGCAACGCGTAAATAGGCCAATTCCTATCGCAGAACTCTCTTGCGAGTTTTGCTGATTCATCGACCATTTCGGAAATTTGTCTATCGGGTGCTTGTGGGGCCTGTTTCGATTTTACGATTTGGATTCGATATAGTTAATAAACGGTTACGGAATCTAACAACGATAGTTGAGAATGAATGAAAATCAGAGATTTTTTTTTTCTTTCTGGACAACAGATAATTACAAAATTGAAATCAGCAACGTGACAAAAAAACAAAGTCCAAAAAATCAGAGACGAGTTCACCCCAAAAATGAGAAAAAGTGATAAAAACATAAAGTAGACGAACTCGGATCAAACACAGAGTGAACTCGGATCTCAGACAATGAGTCAACTCAATTAACACTAACTGTATGAAATCGTGTACAGAAAAAGGGGAAAAAGGAGAGGGGGGTTTGACCAGATTTCCGGAACCGACGGTGCAGAAGCCGTTGACGATGTCGACAAGTACCAAACCGGTGGTGATCGAACCGGAGAGAAGAAGAGTTTCCTGCTCCAGAGGGAGCTCATTCCTCAGAAGCTCTACTGCTTGAGATGAAACCATGGCGTCTGGATTTTTTTTTTTTTTTTTTGAAAATGAAAGGTTTTTTTTTATTTATGATGATGATTCAGTTTGGTATGGTCAATAACGCAATTTTTGAAACTAATTAATTTTTTTTTTTAATTAAACAAATCATTTTTTAGATTTTATATTTTATTTTTCTTGGTAAAATAACAGTAGATTCATATGATCCTTTTGAAAGTGCACTTTTGATACTCTAAACTTTCAAAGATTGTGGCCTTATGCTGCCGTGTTATTTTCGTGCTCAATTTTTTTTTCTTTATCTATATTTCTTTCTTTCTCTCTCTCTCTTCTTTTTTTTTTTTTTTTTTTTTTGTCTCTCTCTTGTTTGTATTATTGGAGTAAGGGAAATCCAAAAAGAAAAATAATTGGTTAGTGGGATTTCATGGAAAATGAGATTTCATTTGACTTTTTCTGTACACCTTTCCAACATTTAAAAAAAAAAAAAAAAAAAAAACAAATCTCAACTTGTTTGGGAGGAAAAAGATAAAACGTAGTAGTCGTTGAATCATTACATATAGGATAAATTACAACCATCACTCGTCGAAGTACGGTCAAATTAAAAAAACTCCCATTTTTATTTGGATAATTATAACAAACTTTCAATTATAAAATAAATTTTCTTACACGTCTAAATTATATGGAATATTATTATTTTTGTATCCGTATTTCGAGCTTCATATTTAAAGCAAGATGAACATAAGATGTATTTTTCGACTTGTATATATCAGATTGTGGTGTCAGAAACTGTATTTTTACACAAAACGAGGACAAAATAGAGAACATTGCACGGAATATAGATGATTATTTTGAATTTGACACCATAAGGACGGATGTGTAAGAAGATTCATAGTTGAGGGTGTAAATATAATTATCCAAACAAGAGAATTTTTTCGTAATTTAACCATACACCGGGGCTTACCCTTAGGCCTTACATATAATTAGGGCTGTGCGTTGGTTGGTTTGGTTAAAAACCAGCTATAAAACCAACCCAACCCATCCAACCAACTTTGGTCAATATTGGAAACCGTTATCGACCCAATTTATATGGGTTGGGTGATGGTTGAAAACCAATTTAATGGGTTGGTTGGTGGTTTGGTTGATGGGTCATCCATGTAAATATTTTTTAATTTTTTTTAATATTTTATTACTTGTTACAACACTATATCTGTTATAAATTAAATGCGACTAGTTCAACAATATTCAAATAAAAGATTCAAAACATTACGGTCATATATATTGCAATTAAACATAAATAGTTCAAAAAATAATAATCATCCAAATATTTAGACTATATGTCTTCAAATTAAAATAGTTCAAATTAGATAATTAGGTTAGATTTATTGCTTTTAGGATTTTGGCCAATATTAGACAATTTAATAAATGTGATATATAACAGAAATTTGAAATTAAAAGTATTAAATATTTTAATTAAAATTAATAAATAATAAATTAATGAATAAAGTTGGTTGGCCGATATTAACCGACTAACCAACTTTTTAGCATTTTAGAAACCATTATCGACCCAACTATACATGGGTTGGTTGACATTATCGACCCAACTTAAATGGGTCGGTTGATGGTTGATTAACCATCACAAATTGTGGGTCGAAAATGGGTTGGTTGGTGGTTAAAACCAATCCATGCACAGCCCTACATATAATACGATAGGTCCATTTGCTTTGCTAAAACAAATTATACACCAAATATTGAAAAAATACAAATCAACTCTTTTATTAATATTTTGTATTTGGTCAAAATCAGTTGGATTAGATTAAAATCAACACTTTCAAAAAAATATTTTTCTTTTGTGAAAAAAAAAAAAAAAATTCTAAAAAACTAATTCCAATTCCATTCCATTAAAACAAAAATAAAACATCACAATTTTGAAGATTGAAATGGAAAAAAATATGCTGAAATCAAGAATTTTTGGATCGTGTGGAAGTGGTAGAAAAATTGGACAAAAATTTTGCTCCTAAATGCCTGATTTTTCTTTCGAGCCACGAATAATCGTCTAACTATTATCCAAAGCATGCTTTTACTCAGTGATGTATACATCGGGTAAAACTCCACCATCAATCTACATATAATTCACATATATGAGAGGCATTACAAACGAATATATTCGGTATATTCTACCAAATGTAACAACTTTGATATCTAGAAAGTTCCCACGTGGCTTCGAGATTTCCGGGGAAAAAGAAACGCATAGTATAAAAAGCAGTAAACACTGTGTTTAGTACAAAAATACACGAGAATTATGACATAAGAGTGCAGTGAATCATTTGCCTTTACCAACATCATCAGGCAACCTTAATCCCATAAGACCAAGCAGATTAGAAGCAGGGCCAGACAAACCTTCTTGAGAAGAATAAGAATCCAGCAAATTCTTTACCAGGTTTATATCTATGTCCACAGGGGCAAACTCGTCCATCTCATCATCATTCGCACTTGAAGTAGCTCCCTGCATAAGTGTACCCAACTCATTAGATTCCGTGTAAAATAACAAAATATATCTATATTTCTCAAAAGAAATTCTTCCAGAAACCCGTTACGAGACTGCATCTGCACATCATGTCAACGTTGGCAAGACGACTTCACTAATTCGAATCAAAATTTAAACATTAAATACCTCATCAATAATTTTAGAGGATTGATCGTGACTTGCGTGAAGAAAGGTTTTATCGAGAGTAGTAGCCTTCAATTCTTTGTTTAGGGCATCTGAATAGGAGTCCATGAACTCATCCCCTCCCTCTTCGATATCCTCTGAATCCTCGTCGTCATCTGCGACTTTTTTGATATCAGATCATTTGATTTTTTTTTAGCAGGCACACAAAGTATATATTAATAATAAATATATGAGAGTCACCCAACATAAAATAAAATGTTGTGCATCAGATAAATCCTCAAGTAGCACTTTGGTTCCAACCCTATGTACTCGATTCAACATTTTATCACCTAAATACAAAATAGTTACCTTGTTACGCGATAGATGCATCAGTTTGTTTCTTTTTGACTTTTTATATTATACTTTAAAGGGTAAATACAATGAATGCTCATGCCAATTATATCTCTGAATTATTTCCAAAACATTATTCTCACTTGTCGGTTTAACAATTATGTAATACAAAAAGCGTAGGATAAGATCATAAAAATCCCATCTCCATCAAAGGGAGCAGTATGCAGCGACAATTTCTAAAATAAAAGAACAGCTTATAACTGCAACAAACATCAAGAATTAAAACATTAGCAGTAAAGATTACCGAAATCAAGGTCAGATGATCCTTCGTCGAGATCAAGATCACTGCCATCATTGTTGGAACCACGGTGCCCCATTATTTTTTCCATTTCTTTCATAAATTGATCGGCATCAAAATCGACATCTTTTAAGTCGCTGAAAATATAATTCAAGACATAAGTACGTAAGCTTGAGTTTTTTTTACATTGATACATAAAAACAGCCAAGACACTGCGACATAAATTAAATCTATGATAACATAATCATAATGAATATATTTTTGGCTGCTCGCATATCAACATTGAATCAGAAATGGAGTGTGAAATGGCGCAGTCAATGAGTCATGCATCTATCTCATTCTCAACACAGACAGTGAAGAATAATTTGAAAAGAAGAGGAAAAAGAACGAAGCATATACACGCAACATACGAAATCATAAACAGCAAATAACATTCATAAATCAATCAGTTTCAGTCTTCGTTCTATTTTACTTGAAGATGAGAAGAACATAATCAAATTTCAAAATTCGAAGGTGCAAGAGAAAGGGGGAAGGATGAACCTGTCCTCTGGAACCTCGGCTCCTTCATAACTAGAGATCTTTTCCACGAACGCTTGCATGGATTTAGCAATCCCCCCAAGATCATACTCGTCAAGATTTTTTTTAGGTGCTGAAACCCCTTCCTCCTGCTCTTTTGACTTGTTTTTCTTCTGATGTTTCAAATTGTACAGTTCCATCTCTTTTTCCCTATCCTTAAGAGCAGCATTTATTTCATCTTCCCCACCATACAGCCATGAATCATCATCAGATGGAGGAAGCTCCTGATTCTTGAAATCGTCAGCTGAATGAGGAAGTGCAAGAATTTCATCTATCCGTCTAACAGGTACACTCAAAACTTCCCTGCACCAATAGCAGTATATCAGCCAAAAGGAAAAATAAAAAATATACATATAGAGCAAAAAGCAAAGGATATAAGTTAAAAAACGTGCACAAAAATATCTTCAGCAGACATAAAAATATACATATATAAGGTTCATTAATGTCTGCCCTGATGCAAAAGAAAAAATGTCGAGTTCACATATACATGCAGTCCAAGATCAAAATAAAACTATTTCCTCAATCCCATCATGGATAAAAGAAGCCAATATCTGTAGCTTAACCATGTTCACACTTTAAACCAATATTGCGTATCTAATAAGAACTCGACTACTCCATACAATAATTTACAATAAATCAGTTTATACCTGGCTCTAACATGCAACGAACTATTCCGATAATATCCTTCGGCATTCTTGATCAACCTCTTGTATTCCTCCGACCCAGGCAACAACCCCTGAAAATAACCACTCGTCTCCAAACTCTCCATAAAAGCTTCCCACGTACTACCCTTTCCTTCCTCACCCTGCTTCCTTTTCACTTGATACATCATTTCAAACCCACAAGCAATCTTCATACCAAGTTCGGCCTCCAAATACTTCCCCACATTGTTCCTCTCCGGCATCGGAAAAAAACGAGGAGCCTGAAACTTCTGCTGCACCAACTGCGCATACATCGCCCTCGACATTCTAACAACCACCTCCACCATCTCCTCAGCCTTCCCTCCAGGCAAGAACCTCTCCATTTTAGCAGCATACTTCATACTATCGATATCCCTATCGTAAAAACCCTCAACCGCCAAAGATATCAAGCACGGCTCGTGCCTCAACACCATCGCCACCGAAATCGGAACCCTAACCCTAACCCTGTGCACGTTCCTGTAAGCACGGTCCGGATACTCGCTGATTTTCCTGCTCAAATGCAACTGAACAGCATCAGGCGCCCGAGAAATGGAATCGTTGTCCCTGCTCGATAGAAACCGCAAAGAATCCTCCAATTTCGGAGTCAACTGGAAGCTCGATTTCGGAACAATGCGGATGATGCCTCGGCGGATGAAGACGCGATTCTCGGAGGTGTCGGGATTGAGCCATTTGGGGAGGTGGAAAGCCGACTCTATCAGCAGAAACTCGCCGTCGGAGTCCCAGACGCGAATGGAGAGATTGGGGAAGGTTTTCGAAATTTCGAAGAGGAGGAAGACGACGAACCACTCGTCTTCGAGATTGTCTCCGAAGCGGAGGTGGCCGGAGAGATGGGGAACGGGGGAGGGGGTTATGGAAAGTAAGAACGGCTGGTGTTGCCAGATGTATGCGTCGGTAAACTGGGCGATGTGGTTGAGGATTTGGAGATGCAGTGACTGCAGTTCCTCGGCGGCGGCGGCGGCGGAAGAATCGGGGAAGATGGAATAGAAGACGGTGTCGTCCGGCGGTCCGGAATTTTTTAAGGAGAAGATTGACGAAAAGGAAGAGCAATCGGCTGGTTCTGCCATGGCTGCGTGGTGCAGAATCTGGTGAGGGAATTTATCGAATTCGAAGGTTTTGGGGGAAAATATTGGGCGAGGGTTTTGCTAATTTTGAGTGGAAATGAATTTTGGCGGTTCGATTGTGGAAAGTGGAGACGACGGTAACTTCTGGAGCGTTTAGTAGTAGTACCTTTTGAAGTAAGACTTGTACAAGTTCTTTTTGATTCTTATAATTTATACAGAAACTTCAAACACACGCGTTTATGGAAATATTTCGAAAACCGAAACTCCATGATACCTGTTGGATTACATTTCGACGATGTTTCCATAAATATTAAAAAATTTCGGGGACGTTTTTGATAATAATGAAAAAGTAGAAACACGTATCCACATAAAAATAAATCTAAATTTCATTTTAAATAAAAACTCCGAATTGCATATGCTTAAAAAAATCTTAAATATTACGTCTCCTCTTTACTTCTAGTGGTGTTTTTAATAATTTTGTAGATGTTAATTTCATACTAAAATAAATTTATATGTTTGTGAAATGATATTAAACATTATAATATTTTTTTAGAAATTATGAATGCACCTCTATATTTTTATTATTTACGCACTTCCCGACGTTCCCATATCCAACTTTTTGGAAAACGGAGTTTCCCCATGTCCGTTTCCCTATTTTCCTCGTGTCTGCGTTCCCGTGTTACATAGATCACTTCCAAATAATATTACAGACTTGCGATATATTCATTTATATTGTGAAATAGGTGGAATTTAGTAACACATAAGTTAAAAAAGAGAATTTGAGAAGAAAAAAAAAATCATTTTATGGCTACTAAGAATGAATTAAATTAGATTGTTCTATTTCTCAAATTTTCTAACTGGCACCTACTGAACCAAGGTCGAAAAGTTTGAAAAAAAAGTCATTCATAATCGGTGAAGAAGGGTCCCTCGAAAAGTTCAGAATTTGATTTAGTCCGTAGGGCTTCTTCTCGTGCTCTTCAGATTCTGGTCCGGATTCCGGTGAAGAGACCTGCAACGCCGGGAGAGGTTCCCGGCGGGAAAGCTCCGACGATCAAGTTAGTGTATATTTAGAGTAGATTTATGAAAAATGTACGTAAAAACCTGTCTGGAAAAATGCAATATCTTCTCCTATTTATAGATGAGGAAGCCTTGGCCTCCAAGGCTTTCCTTTTTTAGGGTTTTTCCTTACCCTCAAGTCATGCATCTTGGGTCTATATGGCCCTGGGCCTGCCTTACCTCGTTTTGGTATTGGGCTGGCGAGTTAGGGTATTTTCACATGGTTCCCGAGGTCGTGCGGGCTAACGACTTCGCTCATAACTTTGAGTTAAGTCGTCATGGGCCCCTCATTATGGGCTTATCATGGTGGGCTTACTTTTATTCGGCGCTTGTCAAATTGGCCCGTATCAACTACTCCCCCCTACTCCTTAATTATCGGGCGAGGAGGCTTTGCCCTATCTCGTTTGGTAAATATGGAGTATAAAGTGCGAAGTAATGGTTCGCTTTTAGTTTTTACTTTTGATGGGGATACGTGCTTCCCGCCTCCTGTTGTCCTGTCAATCAGTGCGGTCGATTCGAGTTCCCTAGGTCATTATGAGGGGATTTCAATCGGTGCTTTTGCGTTGAGTTCGAGGCGGCCTGCTTTTGATCTCGTTCGTCCGAATGGGCGGTTGAGATTTCATTCCTCTCCGTTTTTCCTCCTATAAATACCCAACTGACTTGATTTGTAAAAGTTTTTTCCCCTTTCACCTTCGTGTTCTCTCTTCTACTTGATTTCTCTTCCGGTGATTTTGCTCTTTGAATCAGAGTTTTTTCCTCTCGCGCTCACTCTTTTCCCCGACCAAGGTACTACTTCTTTCCCCAATATTTTATTACCCCCGCCTTGTTCTTAAAGTCGATTATGTCTTCCTATTCTCCCGACCCCTTTGGCCAAAAAGTGCCTTCCGGGGAGGGGGGTGGACACTCCACCCTTTCCATTTCCTCCTCATCGGAGGAGGGGCCTTACTTCTCCCCTTTGGGCAAACTCTTGGAACGACCCAAGAAGAAGGGCAGAAAAGAGGTTCCGCCTTCTACGAGGAGTGGTTCCCCTTCTTTATCTGAAGGACGGGATTTAGATGACCAATGGGGGCCTAGTACGTTAAGCGAGATAGATCTGACTAACCTAGCCCGCGACATAGGCCTCCCCACCGATGTCGAGTTAGTGTTGCCTTCGCGGAATGATCGCCCGTTGAACCCTCCCTTAGGCTTTAGTACTTGGTTTTCGGAGCAATTTTATTTCGGCCTTTCCTTCCCCATTTCGCCCTGGTTTTCCGAAATTGCCCAGCTATGCAATGTGTCTCTTAACCAGTTTCACCCTCATGCCATAATAATCATGACCGGTTTTCGCATGCTCTGTGCTTGGTCGGGGGTAATTCCTACACCAGCTCGTTTTCGGAGTGTTATGGTGTTAAAAAACTCCAGTCCCTTCCACATTTCCATCTCGGCTCGCCCGGGCTTCAAGATATTAATGCCACCCAACAAGACCGATGGGTGGCAGGGTCATTATTTTTTTGCAAAAAATCCCGTGGACACTCCATATTTATGCCCCTGGCTCGCCACCTTGCCTGAGAAGAAAAGGGGAAAACCTTTGGCGGTTGATGATTGTTTGTTAAAAATGATATCTCACTTTCAACCGAGCTACGGCATCCCGGACAGCCTTACCAGCTTTCCGCCGATGCTTCGTCACTTCTATTTTCATGACAACGGCACATATTCCTTAACTCGGGAAGATTTAGGTGGGTTTAGTCGTGACGCTTATTCTCACCTCGACTTATTGTTTTACTTCGCATGATTGTTTTTGTCACCTCGTTAGTTCTGTATTTATCTGTTCTGTTCCTCATTTACTTATCACATTTTTCCTATTCTGGTGGGTAGATTTAAGGATGAAGAGGATGTTCCGGGGTGACAAACCGGCTACTCGTCCCTCCGAGCCGGAGCCGGGATTTGAGGCGTTCGAGTTCCAGCGTCCTTTGGTTGCTGAATCCGAGAAGCGATCCTCGGAAGAGGGGGCTTTAAGACCCAGGCCATCTAAGAAGAATGCCGCGCCTCCGCGCTCCCGAAGTGGGCCACGCGTCGAGGACTCGGAGCCGCCTCCGCGGTCTTCTGCGATAGTTCCAATTTCTTCGCCGCCACCTTCCTCAACCGAAGAGGTGGTGGAGAGAGAACCCATTTCTAAGAAACGAAAAGCTGATCTGGTCCTTGGGTCAACTGGGTCATCTCTCCCCCCTAATTTTGCACTTCATCTCTGCCAGAATGCAGAGAATGCCATTGCCGCTTGTCGGGCTTTGGCATTTCCTCGGGATGTTGCCCACTTCGGGCAGATGAGCAAAGGCGACAGACTTGAGTTACTGCTTCATAATATCACGCAGGTTTGTTTTACTTCGTGCGCACGAGCTGGTCTGTTTCTTAATATATTTCTTGAGTTTAGGACTGACTTTATTTGGGCTTCTCGTATCATGCAGCAATTCGCCATAGCTTTTTCTGGTCCGCTAGGATGGGATGATGTCTCGCGCGAGGCGTACGATAATCAGAAGAAGGAGGTCACTCAACTTCGGAAGGAGGTTCGAGCTTTGAAGGAGACTCTGACGATGGCAGAGTCGTCGAAGGAGGGACTGTTCGCCGAGGTGAGGAGGTTACAAGAGAGAGAGAAGATCTTGCAGGCGGAGAAAGACTCCCTAGTATCTCACAACGCCAACCTGGAGGAGAAGGCTAAGGGACTTTCCAACGAGCTGTTCGCCGCCGGAGTACAAGCTTCCACTAATTTCACCGAAGGGGTGAAAGAGGGACAAAGGCTGTTCCCGGGATCGCCTGAGGGTTTCCGTTTCATCGAAGAGTTCGTTCGTCGCTTCTTTCACCGGTTATGGCGTTCGACTACCTTCACCCGAGAAGCTTCGGGTTTGGCTCGTTTCTTCTTCTCATCGGCGGTCGCGGCTGTTCGGAAGAGGTTGGGTGGTGCCGGCATCAATTTCCCGCTAGTGGAAAATGAACTGGCCGAGGACCTCCCCGATGACGAGATCCCGGGTTTTGAGGGAGACGTCAATGAGGACCCCAACTTGGAGTGGTGGAGACCGGTTTACCAGGGCCTCGTTGAAGATTTTTCCCGTCAAGGGGCCTCGTCGGTGGTTATCACTGACTTCGTCGGGGACATTGAGGCCCTTGAGACGGTGATCAGTCCTAATGACGCACAGCCGGACTCCGTCGTGCCGCCCCCTCCGGATGCTGGGAATCGAAGCGAAGCAGAAGCGGCAGTCCCGAAGTGAGGGCCGCAAAAAGAACTTAGCCATTTTACCTGCTTGTATTTTGACTATGTATTTCTAAACATTATTTCCTTTGTTTCTTTTCGTTATGTATCCTTAACAATTTCTCCGTTTTTTCGTATGTCAACATGCTAGAAATCCCTCTATTCGCTTTTCAAGCTTACTTTGAGTTTTTATATTCGTTCTAGTGTTTGTGATATGACAAATTTCCTTGAATTCGAATTGAGTCTATCAGTATTCCAAATGATTTTCATCGGCGATTGTCCCTTAAGCTTGCCAATCTGTTTGATCTTGGAAAGCCATTTTTATATTTTAACTTAATGCTGATCCCAACATCTTGCTTACGAATACGCTACTTAGCGCGACCATAAAACACGCGAGTTAACGCCACAACAAAACACGCGGTTTGACGCCACAACGAGACACACGAGTTACCGCTACAACAAAACACGCGAGTTAATACCACAATGAAACACGCGATTTAACGCCACGATAAAACACGCGATTTAACGCCACAAGGAAACACGCGAGTTAACACCACAGTAAAACACGCGAGTTAACGCCACAGTGAAACACGCGATTTAACGCCACAGTTGAAACACGCGAGTTAACGCCACAATGAAACACGCGATTTAACGCCACGATAAAACACGCGATTTAACGCCACAATAAAACACGCGATTTAACGCCACGATAAAACACGCGATTTAACGCCACAATGAAACACGCGATTTGACGCCACAATGAAACACGCGAGTTAACGCCACAGTTGAACACGCGAGTTAACGCCACAGTTGAACACGCGTACAGTTGAACACGCGAGTTAACGCCATAGTTGAACACGCGAGTTAACGCCACGATAAAACACGCGATTTAACGCCACAATAAAACACGCGATCTAACGCCACAGTTGTTACTTAAGTAAATAACACAAGGATTTTTTTAACGTGGAAACCCTCCAAATGAGGAGAGAAAAAACCACGGGGCCTAGCCCAGATCGGAAAATGGATGTTTATTGATGGTTTTTGCATGTACAAGGTGTGCCTCGATTTCGCTGACGCTTCTATCTTTTTTTTTTTTTTTTTTTTACGCAAAGAAGCGTTTTAGATGTATTATGTTCCAGGCTCGGGGTAATGGCTTTCCGTCTACGTCTGCCAGCTCGTATCCCCCGCCGGCCAAACATTTGGTGACCATGTACGGTCCCTCCCAATTGGCTTCTAACTTTCCTGGTGTTTTAGTGCGTCAGCTCGTCGTAGGACGAGATCACCGATCTGGAATGAACGAGATCGCACCCCTTGATCGTATCGAGCTTTGATCAAGTTCTTATTTCGTTCCATGTGTAAATACGCTGCTTCTCGTAGATCGAAGACCTCATCCAGCTGTGTTCTCAAGGCATCATCGTTTGTTTTCTCATTAAACGTGGTGATGCGGAGTGTGTCCATTGCTACCTCGACCGGAATAACAGCTTCGGTTCCATAGGTTAATCGGAATGGTGTCTCGCCAGTAGCTGCTTTGGCTGTAGTCCGGTAAGACCAAAGGACTGAGGGCAGCTCGTCTACCCAGCTTCCCCCTAACTCGTCTATTCTCTTCTTCAAACCGTTGACAATGGTCCGGTTTGTGGATTCCACTTGGCCATTGGCCTGGGGGTGCGCTACCGCGACAAACTTCTGTGCTATTTTCATTTCCTCGCACCATGCGCGAATTTTCTTGCCGTTGAATTGAGTGCCATTATCCGATACGAGGCTTCGAGGCAGACCAAACCGACAACATATATTCTTCCAAATAAAATGCATGACCTCGTCCTCTGATATTTTTGATAAGGCCTCAGCCTCAACCCACTTGGTAAAGTAATCTACCGCAACAATGATGAATTTCTTCCTACCGGTGGTTTGAGGGAATGGTCCTACCAGGTCAATTCCCCATTGGGCAAAGGGACACGGGGCACTCATGATAATCATTTCCTCCCCCGATTTATGGATAAGTGGGGCATATTTCTGACATTGTATGCAACGCTGAACGTATCGATGAGTGTCGTTCTTCATGCCGGGCCAATAATATCCAGCCCGATGTAACTTCTGTACGAGGGCCCGAGCTCCTCCGTGTTCACCACAACCACCTCGATGTACTTCGTCAAGAACGTGTTTAACCTCCTGCTTTCCCAAACACCTCGCATCTATTGTGGTGAAATTCCTTTTATATAATATTTCGTGTCGTACGTAAAAGTGCCTCGCTTTATATGCCAAGCGATGTTGTTCTCTTCCGGTGCCAGTTCGCTCTCCTTTGAAATATTTGAACAAAGGTGTTCTCCAGTCAGGCTCTTCGTCGATCATCATGACCCCTAGTGCTGGGGTGGGAGCAATAAGGATAGTGATTTTCCTTTCCACACAATCGGCGACCGACGACCCAATTTTAGCGAGGAAATCGGCTCGCTGGTTGTCACTTCTTGGGATCTGATGTACAGTACAAGCTTCGAAGGTTTCTTGTACCGCTCGAGCTTTGTTCACATATCCCTTCATTCGATCATTCTTTGCTTCGTAGTCGCCTTCTAACTGGTGTATTACTAGTTGGGAATCAGAGTTTATTCGTACTACCCGCGCACCGAGCTCTTGAGCAATTTCCATACCTCGGATGAAGGCTTCGTATTCTGCTTCATTATTGGAAACTCGAGGTAATTTGACAGCAAACTCTACCTTCATTCCTGTGGGATCAATGACTATTATCCCGGCTCCTGCTCCTGTTGCCGTAGACGAACCATCCACGTAAATTTTCCACTCCTTTTCGATAGGTATCCTGGTAGTTTCTCGGATGAAGTCTACCAATGCCTGCCCTTTAACCGAAGTACGGGGTTGATATTGAATTTCATATTGCCCTAGTTCGATGGCCCATTTAACAATTCGTCCTGATGCGGTAGGCTGACCTAGGGTTTGCCGAAGTGGTAGACTCGTACGGATTACCATGGTATGCGATAAGAAGTAAGGTCGGAGCCGTCGCGTAGTGAGGACCAACGCATATGCTATTTTCTCGACTTCGGAATATCTACTTTCCGAAGTAGTGAGGATTTTACTAGTGTAATAGATCGGTCTTTGCTGATTATTCACCTCCTTGAACAGGACCGAGCTGATTGATTCGTCGCCTACCGATAGGTATACGAACAGAGTTTCACCTTTTTCAGGAGTGCTAAGAATGGGCAAACAAGTGAGTGAACGTTTTAAGGCGTCAAATGCGAGCTGGCATTCGGTAGTCCATTCGAACTGAGCTGTTTTCCTCAGTATTTTGAAGAAAGGTAGAATCTTATCAGCCATCCGTGATATAAACCGAGCTAAGGCCACCACCTTCCCTGCTAAGGATTGGACTTCTTTGATGGAACGGGGGGGTGTCATTCGGAGTACGGCCTCAACCTTGTCTTGGTTTACTTTAATACCTTCTCGATTAACAACATATCCCAGGAATTTTCCAGCTTTCACTGCAAATGCGCACTTCGCGGGGTTCAGTTTCATTCCGTATAGGCGAAGGGTGGCAAAGGTTTCAGCTAAATCTGCGAGGTGTGTAGAACGCCTTTTGCTTTTAACCAGCATGTCATCAACGTAGACCTCGATGTTACGCCCGAGCTGAGCCCGAAACATTCTATCCATCAATCTTTGATACGTGGCCCCCGCATTTTTCAGACCAAAGGGCATCACCACGTAACAGTAAGTACCCGTAGCGGTGACAAAACTTACCGCTGGCTGATCCTTTTCGTCTAATGGGATCTGGTGATATCCCTGTGAAGCATCCATCATACTAAGTAGTTCGCATCCAGCAGTGGCATCTACAAGCTGGTCTATGCGAGGCAAGGGATAATCGTCCTTTGGGCAAGCCTTGTTTAAGTCCCTGAAATCGATGCACATTCGCCACTGTCCGTTGGCCTTCTGTACTAACACTGCGTTGGACAGCCATGTAGGGAATTGGATTTCCCTGATATGCCCGATGTCCAGAAGTCGCTGAACCTCTTTTTTTATGATTTCGTCTTTTTCAGTACCGAAATGTCGTCGTTTTTGCTTGACGGGCTTGCACTCAGGTCGCAAATTGAGCCTATGCACAGCAGTACGAGGTGCAATACCGGTTAGGTCACTTGGTTGCCAGGCGAAGATGTCTTCGTTAGATCGCAATAACGCTATCAGCTCATCTCGGAGAGGTGGCTCTAGATCTTTGCTTATCTGGGTTTGTTTTACCTCACCAGGGACGAGGTCAATCGTCATCAACTCGTCCATGGGCTGTACATGATTAACTTTGTCCTCCGGATCGATCCAGGGGCGTTTCTCGTCTCCCAAATCTTCTTTAGTGAAAGTATCGCGTCGCCCTTTCTCCGCTACCTTAACCATTTCGACATAACATGATCTCGACTGGGCCTGATCACCTTTGACCTCTCCTACCATTCCATCGACCGGGAACTTAAGCTTTTGATGAATAGTCGAAGGGACCGCCCGAAAGATATGCATCATTGGCCGTCCTATTACGATATTGTAAGAGGTCGGCGATCCTTCAACGATGACAAAATTGACAGTTTGCGTGCGAGCTCGAGGTGGCGTTCCTATAGTAACAGGGATTTTAACCTGCCCAACCGGTGTTAGGGATCCCCCAGTAAAACCAAATATTGGAGTGGTGACGGGGAAGACTGGGAGGTCGAGCTCCATTTGTAGGAAACACTCGTAAGATATGACATCCACTGAACTCCCTGGATCGACGAAAGCGCGAGCAACGTCATACCCTCCGACGTTAATCGTGATGAGGAGAGGATCGCAATGGAAATCATCAAGGTCCACTTCATCTTCAGGTCCAAACGAGATAGTGGGGTATTGACGATACTTCGATGTAGAAATCTGACAAACTTCGCGATTGTTCTTAAGATCGCCGAGATGGCGCCTCCTAGCCCGGTGAGTATCTCCTCCCGTAGGTCCCCCTGAAATCATCTGAATAAATCCTCTTTTCGGAGGTGGTGGTGGGGGCGGAACTCGCGTAGGATTTCCGAACTGAGCTTCGCGCTTTTGTCCCCGAGGTGGGTCTATCTTCACAAAATCTCCAATCTTGTTGTCTCTGATGAGGCGTTCCACCTCGTCTTTCAGATGCGCGCAATCGTCAGTCGTATGTCCATATTCGTTATGAAAACGACAAAAGGTACCCAGCGTTGGATCTCGGCGAGGGGCTTCGCGAGCGGTCCGAGGCCACCGCAAATCAGCTCTTTTCTCGATTGCGCACAATACATGGGACAAAGGGGCTGTAAGAGGCTGATATGATTGATATCGAGATCCCTTAGCATCCGGGGCAGTGCCCCGACTGGGAGTATTGGCATCCCTTCGAGGTAACATGGGCTCCTTACCTCTCTTCATTTCGTTAACTCGTGCGTTCGCGGTTTGGTGAGATTCTTCCACTTTCTGCTGGCGAGCCTCTTCCAAGTCAATGAACCTAGATGCTCTCTCTAGAAGATTATCAAAATCAGGCGAAGGTTCCAGCTCTAAAGCTCGGAAAAACTCATCATCTCTTAGTCCTTGCGAAAGGGCTGCCATGAGCACCTCATCACTAGTGGTGGGGACCTCTAAGGTGGCCGAAGTGAACCGCTTGATGTAGTTCCTGAGGCTTTCCTTCTCCTTCTGACGAATGCTGAATAATGACAGAGAGGTCTTCTTGCACTTCTTCGAGCTTGCAAATTGATTCATGAAGGCCTTGCCAAATTGTCCAAAGGAATGCACGCTCCCGGGGGGCAACAAACCGAACCAGGCCTGGGCTGGCCCAGCTAAGGTGATGACGAAGGCACGACACTTCACTCCCTCCGTGAGCTGGTGGAGGGATGCGGTGTTGTTGAAATGACTCAGATGCTCGGCTGGATCTGACGCGCCGTTGTATTCGAACAGAATTGGTCGGTAATTAGCTGGTATGGGGTCGCTATCGAGATGTTTGGCGAAAGGACTAGATCCCGCGAGATCTCGTGTCGGTCCACTCCGCAAGGCTTTTAACTCATCCATATCGCACCTTAGGCTGTCAACCTCCGTCCTAACGCCATGACTGTTGCCTCCTCGATTCTCCGAATAACTGTCGCACTCATCTTCGGCTCGGCCCTCGTTCGGAGAGCGTCTCAGGTCTCTCTTAGGTCGGTTATCCTGGGGCAGAGATTGAGTGTAATTGCGAATGGCCGTAGTGATCATGGCCTCCACTTCGGCCCGGGTGTACGTACGCTCGTCAGGGGATGTAGTTGGTACCGTAGCCGGTCTTTTCAAAGCGGCTTCACCATTTTGAAACTCGAACGAAGGACTACTTGAAAAGAGGGGGATCCGTCTCTCCTTCTCAGGCATAAGTAGGCTGCATCCTAACTTCTCCTTCAAGACAGACGACGGATCGACACCAGGCGTGTCGCAAGCTGCTGCATCTAGCTCCTTTTGTAGGTTTCGGGCAATTGTGTCTCCTTCCTCCATTATTCTCCACGTTTCCAGCTCAGATCTGGACTTCCGGGGGCAGATCTAGTGTTTTCCTGGAAGTTGTGCTCCAAATTTTTAGAAGTTCTTTCCCACAGACGGCGCCACTTGATTTAGTCCGTAGGGCTTCTTCTCGTGCTCTTCAGATTCTGGTCCGGATTCCGGTGAAGAGACCTGCAACGCCGGGAGAGGTTCCCGGCGGGAAAGCTCCGACGATCAAGTTAGTGTATATTTAGAGTAGATTTATGAAAAATGTACGTAAAAACCTGTCTGGAAAAATGCAATATCTTCTCCTATTTATAGATGAGGAAGCCTTGGCCTCCAAGGCTTTCCTTTTTTAGGGTTTTTCCTTACCCTCAAGTCATGCATCTTGGGCCTATATGGCCCTGGGCCTGCCTTACCTCGTTTTGGTATTGGGCTGGCGAGTTAGGGTATTTCACATGGTTCCCGAGGTCGTGCGGGCTAACGACTTCGCTCATAACTTTGAGTTAAGTCGTCATGGGCCCCTCATTATGGGCTTATCATGGTGGGCTTACTTTTATTCGGCGCTTGTCAAATTGGCCCGTATCAGAATTAATATTTCTTCTAGAAATCGAGAACGGATTCGACCTTATACATACGAGATCAAGGCAGTCAAAAAAAGAAAGAAGGTGAGTTATTCTTTCTTTTATCACTTAAGAGCCATGTGAGATGAAAGTCTCATGCACGATTTTGAATGAGAGAAAGAAGTGATGAACCTCTTAATTAAATCGGAATTGATTTTTTACATATGAAAAAAGGTTAGTATCTTTTCAAAAGTGTTAATTGCCATATAATTACAAAAGGTTGAAAATTACATCAATGTTCACATAATTTGGAAGGGAGTGTGTATTGTGAACAATTACAGGGGCCAGATTGCAATTTATGGAATAGTAAGGGGATAAACTATAATTACTCCCAATCTAACTAATAAGTCGGCTCCATCAACCATCAGTTCTTCTTCTCTCCCTCCCACAAATCAAGGTACAACTTTCGAAGCAAGAGGTTCAACTCAAACCAGTCCAAAGCGATCGTACCATGTGCTACGGCAGAGAGCGATTGCCGTCGAGAGAAGATGCCCTGGGATTCCGGCCTCCGGTGGAGAACGAAAATGCGATAGTGGTGGAGAATCTGAGAGAGCGGCTCGCCGAGACGGAGGCGCGGCTCGAGCGAGCCAGGGCGAGGGAAGCCGAGCTGAGCCTCCGCCTGGAGGAGATGAAAAAGTTCGTCCGCGTGATGGAGATACTCGAAACCTACCTCCGGCGCCGATTCAGCGATCAGCGAGACGACGTCGTTCGGCGTTGCTCTTCTTCGCCTTCTTCTGTTTTGGTACCTTGATTTTATTCCCCCCCCCTTTTTTTTTTTTTTTTTTTCTGAATTTGGTTGCAGAAGCAGAGATTGTGTAGTTGTGTAGAAAAAAAAATTAAATAGCATAATTGATTAAATTTCCATGTGAATCAACGATCTTCTTTATATATATCATGAGATTCAATGTTTTAGATCATAATTTCATGAAATTTACATCATTTTTCGTTTGGGTGAAAAGATTAATTTTCAAGAGTTGGTGGATTTGATATTCAAGATCTTAAGGAGAAATCTTGTGTGAAGAATATGTGTGGTGGTTTTAGTAAATAGAACTGATATATGTTTTAATTTGTGTGAATTATGTTTTCGTTTTCGTTTCCGTTTTAGATTGACAAGATGATTGCTGATAGAATTTAGGGCAGTTTTGAGACAAATTCTATGGTTTCGGTTTCAGTGATTGCTGATAGAATTTAGGGCAGTTTTAAGACAAATTATATGGTTTCGGTTTCGGTTTCGGTTTCGGTGTCGGTGATTGCTGATAGAATGTAGGGCAGTTTCAAGATAAATTCTATGGTTTTGGTTTCGATTTCGGTTTTGGTTTTGGTTTTGGTTTCGGTTTGAGTTACCGACTAGATATTTTCGAAGCATGAACTGAAACGAACGTAGGCTATGGTGCTACTTCAATTGGACTTTGAGAATATTGAGTTTGAATTGCTTAGACGAAAGTCAGGATAATGTAAACGATCTTATAATCACTATATTCTTACTATCTCCGATGTTGTTGTTCAATCTAAATCGAGTTTCCCTTAGATCAACTTTTTTGTCCCTAGTTTTAGCTTTTAAGCTATGTTGAATCCCGTTCACTGCGCTTACAAATTATCAACTAGGCCTCAATGCTCATCGTATCGTTTGAGGTGATACAAAGTTATAGGTTGATTCGATGGTCTTTTGGGGTGAGACTGCATCGTGTTGTTGCAGGATTACGACGGGAGTATGGTATCATACGAATAATAATCGAATGCTGATATTTCTCGAACATGCTTCCAGTCTAGGAGTGGAAATCGGATGGATTGGAATTAGCATTTTTGGAAAAAAATCCAAAATTTTCCGAAAGTGGAAACATAATTCCAATTTGTCCCAAAAAATAAATCGAAAATATCGGAATTTGAATGAAAAACTACTTTTTAAATGAGAATTTTCCGGATGAAAATCAGACCGGATATTGAAATATCATAAGTGTTTCCATTTTGTTCTAAAAATAATTGAAAAAAATGGAAATTGTAATTTTCGGAATTCGGAATGAAAATTATTGTTCAAAAATCGAAAATATTCGGATTAGAACAAACGGAATTCGGAAATTCCATTCCAATTTCTACCCCTATTCCAATTGCACCACTATAGATCTCCGACACATGCATGATTTTACCACCCTAATGCATTGATGACAAAAATGCACCTAAACTAAATACAAACGATTGTCCAAACTCCAAATGCTCGATTCTAGCTAAAATAGATGCTTATAAGTGTATATTCGTACAACTAACAGTTGTTATGGATGAATTATGAACATCTGCTACAGTTTTAGTTTGAGTTTTTTGAATCGTAACTCAATAATGCATAGTTTTCTCACGTGAAATTTAATCTCATTGATTCATGTTGGATTAGAAAGCCAACTAAAAGAAGTACAATTCTAGTAATATGATTTGAGCAATGGTCGTAATGTTAGAATTTTCCATATTAAACTTTTTGAGCAATTGTTTAGTATATGCAGATTGGTGTATAAGTAAGTCGTTATTTATATGCTCGAGCTCAATTCCAAGACAGAGTTTGGTTTTACCAAGGTCCTTGACCTCAAACTCTATCTTTAGATATTCAGCAGCATTGGCCAACTCTTCAGGAGTGCCAATGACGTTCATGTCATCTACATAAACCGCAATAATAGCAAATCCGATTTCTGATCGTTTAATAAAAACACATGGGAAAATATGATCATTTTAATAACCTTCCCTGATAAGGTATTCACTCAATCTATGATACCACATGCGACCGGATTGCTTTAGACCATACAATGATCTCTGTAATTTGATTGAGTACTGCAGCTTACGAAGAGCGCCAGTGTTTGTCATTTTAAATCCATCGAGAATTTTTATATAAATATTATAATCTAGTGAACCATATATATAGGCCGTTACAACGTCCATTAGACGAAGCTCCAGTACCTCTTGGACGACCATATTGATAAGAAAACAGAAAGTGATCGTATCCATCACAGATGAAATATATTATGTATACGAAATATATTATGTACACATATACGAAATATATTATGTATATTGTAATTATGCCAACTATAAAATATATATATCTTGGTTTTATTTTATAACATTTTTTTCTTTTTTTTCCTTCTCTTCCATGTAGGCCATCATCCCCTTCTTTATTATTATTTTTTTTTCCTTTTGTTATTTTCTTTCTTTTCTTTATTTATTTTTCATTTCTTATTTTTTTAATTTTTTAATTTTATTTATTTTAGTTTTCTCTTCCTTTTTTTTTTGCTCTTTTTTTTTTCTTTATTTGTTTTCGTTTTTTTATTGGGTTCTTTTATTTTATTTTAGTTTTCTCGTTTTCTTTTTATCTAATTCGATCTTTTTAATTTATAATAGTAATTTTATTGCAAACATTATATTAATTATATTAACATTACATGTTATTATATTACAAATAATTTATTATTATGATTATTATTATTATTATTATTATTATAAGATTGGTGATGGAAAAAATGGAAGAAAGAGATTGACCGGTTGGACGAGAAATGTTTTGGGGTCGGGGTCGGGGTCGGGGGAGCCCCGGGGGAGCCGCCCCCCATTGACAGGAGATGCCCTTAGGGTTTAGAGATGGAGGAGTTGTTGGAGGTGAGAGTGAGTTTCCGAGGAATGTAGCACCGGGGGCAGTTTCGGAAATGAAAATTGACCGAGGGGAGATGGGATAAGTGGGAATGAAAATGGATCCACGAGTGGAAATGGGCAGAGCAATACAGTAAATAAGGAGCAAAAGAATCCATATCCGGATAGAGAGGATTCGGGTGACGGGGGTGGCATCGTTCGCCGAAATTGACGTGCCGATTGAAAGATAATGGCAAAATGAGTTTTTTAGTCCTGTAAGTTTACTAGTTGAGAGTTTTAGTTCATCATGTTTCAAAATCAGAATTGTAGTCCTGTAAGTTACAAAAGTTGGGAATTTTTGGTCCTATGACCTGCTATAGCATGTAATGTGTTGGTTGGTTGAATGAGTTGTCATTTCAAATATAAAAATAAACAGATTAAAAATAAATTAGGGGATGTGGCTAATGAGTTGGATGGTTTTGAAGAGAAATTTGATCCTCAATGTCAAATTCACCAAAATAATGAAGAACATTTAACATATTAATTTATGCATTTTTTTTATTTGCAATAAAAAATCGCAATAATCATTGACTAAAATCTATCATTATATTTTCTATAAAGGAAATAAGATTAACTAATGTTTAATTAATATTTCTTAGTTTTATTTGATAAAAATAGTAATTGTGACGCCCACTATCGAAATACACTGTACTTTTATTTATTTATTTATAGATTAATAAATACAATGACTTCAACTTAATTTGTCATTACTAAAATCAAATACAAATGGACAACCAAAGTCTACAACTACAGTCTCGTATACATATCTCTTGAATAACAATCACATCTGAATAGAACTAAAATACAAACAGATTAAACTCTATAAAACTTCTAAGTAACTATACTCCTAAGAGTCTTCATCATAATCGTCCACTAATGCACCTGTTACTGAGAATAAGATGGAAAATAGATGAGGAGTAAGTTCATATGGACTTAGTGAGGAGTACAGTGGAAAAACAGTGGAATCAAATAATAAGGACAATAACAAAACAATTGACAAGTCGAACATGATATTGGAATTGGACCATCTAGAGAAGGATCATTTGGTAAGGTACAAAGCCAAAGTACGAGAACACAACAATCCGATCAGAGTAAGCAATACAATCAATATGTACATGTAGAGAACAATTTCAAGGAAAATTCCCGAATATCAATTATGAATTTCGTGGAGATTCCCACGGTAACAGTTCTGGATATCACATAAGAATTCCATGGAGAATCCCATGGTAATAATTCTGGATATCAAGTATGAAGACCATGGAGATTCCCATGGTAACAAATTGTTCATGTACCTGTACCTGCCTTGTGACTCCCTTAGCCGTTACTACCTTATACACCGATCAGGGAATGACCCTGCTAATCAATCAATAGGCATGCCCGGGCGCATGTTGATCCATCCATCAGCACAGTTAACCTCCAACTATGCCAATGGTCTAGATCTAATATGGGTACTGTTGAAGAGACCATCCACCGTCGGCCCAATACCGCCCAACAGTCTTTTTCGAACAGCCCCGGGCCCAACTGGTCATTTATTCTTTGGGCGTCCCCAAAGGAATCAATCATATATAGATATCGGATATGCTTCCGACTATCTCAATTTACAGTTTGAATCCCAATAATGAATTCCACTTTGGAATGAATCAATATAATAGTTCAATAGTTTTGGGATTCCAATAACAAGGGATAATAATTTGTGGTCACGTAATCACAAGTCAAGAAAGGTACTATCAACAGTTTCATAATAAGAGTGACCACAATTCAGGATCGTATAACAATTGATGAAGATGGATCTCAATCAACAATACTCTACGGTTAAAATTGAATCCGTAGTTGTATAGCTCGAAAGACAAGTGGTTTCAAAAGATCAATGAGAAGTCAAGATATGAACGATCCATCAATTCACAGTGGGTACGAAACGAATGATTTAACGGATAAACCAAATAATCCTAAATGGTCCAAGAGTCCGGAAAATATATATATTGAATTCAAATGACGAGTAGTAAACCGAACGATACGAGTGCTCGGCATACATCCTGTTTTTCCAGAAAGAATAGGCAATTGACAGGGATCCTCACCTGGAGTCCAATGCAAGTGCTATAAATTATCTTTACGCTCAAGCGACTCTCAAGTCTTGAGCGAGAGCTTTACTACACTCAATACCTATAAAAATATTTATCACTTAATAAGATTCCAAATACTTATTAAATGAATTCATGCTAACGCACCCCAAAGAATTTGATGTGGTATGATATTTCCTATATCATTGTAATGCAAATATATATAGTTTCTTATACTTATGCCATTATTTCGAATCGATTTATTCACAAATTATTATTACTGGTTGATATTAACACTTATGGTTCACCATCTGTTTTTTCTTGGACTATGCTGTACAATCAGTTGTTG